ACACTGCTGTTTATGCACTTCTCTGTTAGTCTGGTTCAAGACGGTGAAGTAAGAAGAACTCAGTGATGTAACCCAAGTATCTTCTCTTCATGAGTTGAAATTTGTTCACAAATTGTTGAACGTCTTGATATTTATAAAACATCGATCTCATGTGGTGACTGAATCTAATCTTTCAGTTGACAGGCGCTCATTACCCAGGCGATCAGTCATAACCTACTAACAACACGTGACACTTCTAAACGTTATTTTTGAAAAGAATATTACTCATTGCACCATGTGATACACGTAGGTAAAGTTCTTTTCAAATTATTCTGGCCACGAACAAAAAAGTGTGGAATACATATAAAAGTTGTTTAGATCTCGTCACATTAGGTATCTGTGAAATGTTCAGGAACGTTTTATAGACAACGTACTTTATTGAGAGTAACACTCTCCGATCATAATATCACGTTAATGTTGCAGCATTACATCAAAACATTGACATCATGCTTAAGTAGGTCCACACCAGTGTGAATGGGATATAACAATACCCTTGTTTATCAACCCTCAATCCAAACTACTGGAATATCAGTTGCTCTCCTTCATGAACACATCAACATCCAGGCCGCATTGTCAAGGGTTCACGCATTTTTTCCTGGTCAGGAATTTAGCGACGCGGTTTTTTATAATGAGTTCGGAATGCTCAACCCTCTCCCTTAACTCCGAACTTGGGACCAGAAGCAACTCTAGATGATTTCCGGCTTGTTACACTGCCTCGATAAGATAAAAATTAAAACATTGTACCCGAATGGCGCAAGAAAGTAGTGGCGAACTATACAACCATGGGGCTGTGTGACTTACCGTATGCAGTGCACATCGTAAAGTTAGACTGCCACACTTTTTATTGTAACAGATTAATAGATTTAATTACAATGTACGGAATAATAGGAAGTTATTGTGAACCCAGGATATTCTATCTTCTTCCCCCAACTCACTCATGACAAATCGAAGTGCACTATAGGAGAGAAGGAAAAAATATCCCTGCTCTCATTGAATCATCAACTATTAAAATTTATTACAGAATTAGGTGGTGTTCACACTTCGAATTGATTTGAAGATGTCCTGGGTAAAATGCTCTTCGCAACGCTGTCACCGAAATCGAGGACGAATTAATCAGACGTATTAAGACTATGTTAACTCCGCCTGTAGCTCTTCTAGAGTTACTGCCGGTCCCAAGCCCGGGTAAAGGAGGAGGGTTGGGCATGGGGTTAGCGTCCCCATCCAGTAGAAAACTAACTCGCTGAAAAAACGCTTACTAGAAAAAATAATTCAAACCATTTTAACTCTGCCCTGGGAGTTAGAAGGTCTTCATTTAGAAGAATTATGACGCTTCATGGTGAAAGCCGAGTTCCTTCGGAAGCCACGAGGCCGATGCCCCTCCTAACAACCAGAGCAAAAATTTTTATAGGTACATGGAACGTTCAAACAATGTGGGAATCCGGGAAGACCAGTCAAATAACAACGGAAATCAGGAGATACAACTTGGCAGTACTGGGAATCAGCGAAACCCACTGGACCCAAGCTGGACAGAACAGGCTAGCTACGGGAGAGATGCTGCTATACTCCGGTCACAAAGAGAAAAACGCTCCACAAACTCGGAGAGTCGATCTAATGCTGTCCAAAGTAGCACAAATGCACCTGTAGGATGGGAATCTCACGGATCCAGAATCATCAAAGCATCATTCAAAACAAAGAAGGAGGGGATCTTAATGAATATTATCCAATGTTATGCACCCACAAATGATAGCAACGACGAAATTAAAGATCTATTCCACGAGCGGCTGCAGTCAATCATAAAGAAATGCCCGAGAAAGGGCCTAACCATTCTGATGGGAGATCTAAATGCCAAAGTCGGGATAGACAACACTGGATATGGAGATATCATGGGGCGACATGGACTGGGGGAAAGAACCGAAAACGGAGAAAGATTTGCAAATTTGTGTGCATTCAACAAATTTGTCATAGGAGGCACAATATTTCCACACAAGCGTATAAACAAGGCTACATGGATCTCACCGGACCACACTACAGAGAACCAGATAGACCATATTTGCATCAATAAAAAGTTCCGAAGGGCAATGGAAGATGTGAGAACCATGAGAGGTGCTGACATAGCTTCAGATCACCACCTAGTTGTAGCGAATTTAAAACTGAAGCTAAAAAAGAACTGGACAAGTGGACAAACAGCAATACAAAGGTTCAATACAGCCTTTCTTCGAGATACTGACAAACTCAGTGAATTCAAGATGGCTCTCAACAACAGGTTCCAAGCCTTACAAGATCTACTGAAGGAAGAAGAAACTACTATGGAGGACAACTGGAAAAGTATCAAGGAAGCATAAACGTCAGCGTGCCAAGAGGTTCTGGGCCTAAAGAAACACCATCATAAGGAATGGATCTCTATAGAAACACTGAACAAGATCAAAGAAAGGAAGAACAAGAAGATAACAATTAACAACAGCCGAACACGAACAAAGGAAGTCCAAGCACAAGCTGAATACATGGAAACAAACAAGCAAGTGAAGAAGAGTATTAGAGTCGACAGGAAGAAATACGTGGAAGAATTATCAACGAGGGCAGAAAAAGCTGCTAGAGAAGGAAATATGAAACAGCTTTACGATACAACGAAGAAACTAGCAGGGAAATACAGTAAACCAGAGAGACCGGTCGAAGACAAAGAAGGCAAGCCAATCACTGAAATTCAACAACAGCGGAACAGATGGGTAGAATACTTCGAGGAACTCCTGAATAGGCCGGCTCCAATGGATCCACCGGACATCGAAGCAGCACACATATATCTCCCTATAGATGTCAACCCACCAACGACGGAAGAAATTAGAATGGCCGTCAGACAAATCAATAACGGGAAAGCAGCAGGACCCGACAACATACCAGCTGAAGCACTGAAATCAGACGTCGAAGTAACCAAAAGCATGCTTTACCTTCTATTCAAAAATATTTGGGAGGAGGAACAAGTGCTGATGGACTGGAAAGAAGGACACCTCGTCAAGATTCCAAAGAGAGGAGACCTGAGCAAATGTGAAAACTACAGAGGCATTACACTACTGTCAATACCAGGGAAAGTCTTCAACAGAGTTTTGCTGAACCGGATGAAGGATGCAGTAGACGTCCAACTTCGAAATCAACAATCTGGATTCCGTAAGGATCGAGCGTGCACAGACCGAATTGCAACACTACGGATCATCGTCGAACAATCAGTTGAGTGGAACTCGTCACTATACATCAACTTCATTGATTATGAAAAGGCATTCGACAGTGTAGATAGGAGGACATAATGGAAACTTCTTCGACATTACGGAGTTCCTGAGAAGATTGTCAATATTATCCGGAACTCATACGACGGACTACAGCGCAAGGTCGTGCATGGAGGACAGCTGACAGATGCATTCTAAGTAAGGACCGGAGTCAGACAAGACTGCTTACTCTCTCCCTTCCTCTTTCTTCTGGTGGTCCACTGGATTATGAAGACCTCGACATCTGAAGGAAAACACGGAATACAATGGACAGCTCAGAATCAATTAGACGATTTGGACTTCGCAGATGACCTAGCCCTCCTATCACATACACACGAACAGATGCAGATAAAGACAGCCAATGTAGCAGCAGTCTCTGCATCAGTAGGCCTCAGTATACACAAGGAGAAAACCAAGGCGAAACTCTGGAAGATGTAGAATCCTGCACATACCTGGGAAGCATCATCGATGAACAAGGAGGTTCAGATGCAGACGTAAAGACGAGGATTGGCAAAGCAAGGGTCGCATTCCTACAATTGAAGAACATATGGAACTCAAAACAACTTTCAACCAATTTCAAAGTGAGAATCTTCAATACGAACGTCAAGACAGTCCTACTGTATGGAGCTGAAACTTGGAGAACTACAACAGCCATCATCAAGAAGGTGCAAGTACTTATAAATGGTTGTCTACGCAAGATACTCAACATCCATTGGCCGCATACCATCAGCAATAACCCTCTGTGGGAGAGAACAAACCAACTTCCAGCTGAAGAAGAAATTAGGAAAAGACGATGGAAATGGATAGGACATACATTACGCAAATCATCAAACTGCATCACGAGGCAAGCCCTAACTTGGAATCCTGAAGGGAAGCGGAAAAGAGGAAGGCCAAAGAACACATTACGTCGGATAATAGAAGCAGATATGAAGGAGATGAATAACAACTGGAAGGATCTGGAAAGGATTGCCCAGGACAGGGTTGGATGGAGAATGCTGGTGAGCGGCCTATGCTCCTTCACGAGGAGTAACGGGCGTAAGTAAGTAAATAATTAGGACTATGTTCAATATATAAAGGCATATGACGTTCAGGCTAACTAACTTCCGTAAGGAGTGTGTAGCACAGAGCACATAAACTTGATTTAGTGGGGTTGGTTGATCAATAGCCTCCATCTAGGAGTGCATCTATTAGAACATCGATGTCAAAGACATGCTGAACTATGTTTCGGGGAGACTTAGTTACAGCTACAGACTCTTTCAGGAAAAGACAAGCCTAAAGAAAAAAAGCCCATCTATTCCCTTGACTTTCCGTACCTAATAAAGAAATATAAGCCCGAATCTAAAACGTCTTGGGGCTATTATGACCAGGTGTTTATATTCATTGCAGTGAAGACAGGTAAAATGAAATCGGTCTCCAGAATTGAGACGCCAAAGCAAAATAACTAGATGGGTTTTTACAGGTATTTTTGAAGTTGTTAGATAATATTTTTCAGTAATCGTATGGTAGTGAGCAATTCAATATATCCCCAATAAACGATCAGACAAGATTAATGAACAAAGTTTGCTTCGCACCCCAATATGATCATAAAACTATTTTTGCTTTGAAATTTAACTGCGTAGCATCTAAATAAGTAAATGCAGTCTAGAATTGACTAGTGATTAGGAAGACAATTCTGTTGTATTCAATGTAACAGGGTATTGTGGAATACCATTTACTGAGCGCCAAATGTGTATGTAATGCTCCAGGGGCGGGGCTTTAATATTGATGAAAGCTTGTGAGCTTCCGATGAAGTGGAGTCGGATATCTGATGGGAGGATATAATAGTAAACTGACAGTACCAAAAGATGAGCCAAATCTCATGAGTAGGGTTGATACTTCCGACCTGAGCAAAAACCCTAAACTGGCTGACCTCAACAAAGTTGACGGTAAATCTTCATCTTGATTTTACAGAATGACAGAAAAACTAGCTGATATTCGTTCTTACACAAAGATGGATGCGCAAAATTCTAACGATTCCTTCATGCTGGGTCGAGGAGGTATTATGGTCGTATTATACGACTTCGCCGAATCAATGAGTTCTCAAATCAGCATTAAGCGAGGTCAGTTCTCACTGTGATGAATATATTCCACTTGACATATAGTCTAGTGCATTTTTTACTTGCGCTGGGCGAGAAAAAAGCAGCAGTAGTTTGAAAAAGTATTAGCACTGAAAATTAATTACTGCAAGATGTGTCCTGGTTGGGACTGGATTTCGGAAACATATTCTTTTTAATTACTTTGTCATGTTATAGCCAAATGCTTACGAATAAGGAACATAACAGCTTTCAGCTCTGTGGTCATAAAAATGTACAAAATACGGAACTTACTATCACCCATTAAGCTACATAACAAGGAGGGAGGGTATCGGTATTCACTACTTCAATTTACACGAGCTTTTCACCTTTATTTATGTTTATACCGTAAAGATTTTGGACGAACTAGTAAACTTAAAGTTGAACTAATTTGCATCTTACCAACCGTAATATTACTTAAGTGCTAGTCGACAGTGCGGATTAGTACGTATGGAATGACGTACATTCTTTCCTGTTGGTCTCCTTTTAAAATTCCGTGTTTAACATCTAAAACGTCTACTGTCATAGTTTACTGAGTCTTGGGAGACGCATATACTTTAAGCATCGCACGCTAAAATTTCGGTAAACTATATTGCTTTTTTGGTGGACGCACTATGAAAAGTGGTGGATCTCTCCACCTAATTTTGTAAAAATCAACAAAGTAAGACGAATTCACATTTTATTTCGTATATTTGGTTTGGATCATAGTGTAAGATGTTTCTAGAGCGGCGAAATATCCTTAAAACATAACTATTTGGTCTTTGCTTAGTAACAAACTGAGTATCCCCACTATCATAAATTAAACAAACAATTTAAGCAAGTATGTTCTTTCTACGATCTACTGCCAGGCTTTAATATCACGAATAGAAGGAAACGACGCATTCCTATGTATTAGGAGAAATCATTGATAATAATTGAAACAAGGTCATTAACGTCCACGTGTAGTTTGTTAAAAATCTGTTTAAAGTGGTGGCATAATAAAGTAAAAGAATCGGCGAGACTACAATTTACGGATGAACCAATCAGATATAAGATAACGAGTCACAAATTTTAACGCAAAATTCATCCATACATTTGGCTAAATAGAGTTTTGACATTATAGCTGATGTCAGTTCGTGATGCAAACCCAAAGTCTAATTTTTAATCCTAGCCATAAACTGTAAATGAGAATCTTAACTGCTTTATAACCCTCATTTAGGCCTAATCAGTAGGTGTCCACTCAAGGTCACTTCAGCGTCGCTCAAAGGTCGTCCATAAATTATAGTCTCACCAAAGAATCAGTGCGTCAAGTAAATATGCAAAGTGAAACCGGGAATAACTATGATGAGAATAAAATGTGTACATGTTGAGACTGTTCACAACTGCTAGAAGTAACCTGAGAAGAATGTGCTTCTGCACAACAGTTGTTAAAGGGCATCATAGTGAAAGGGACCGAATAAAAGATGATCAAGTTTGGTCAGAAATCATAGTGGATATCACTTCAGGTGTGCTTGGTAACGGAGGCCCGCGAACCTTGTTAAGCATTGTGTATAAGTCTGAATATTGAAATCTCATTGTATAAGGTCTTAAGACGTTTATGTTGATGAGAACGATTCGGACGTTTAATATTTACTAGTTTTACCACAAGCTCAAATTGTGTGGTTCCCTCAGGCAAAATAATCTTTTGCCTCTGTCATCACTTTCACGTAGAATAAATAATATTAAGTCGTTCTTGATCGTCATCTACTTCGTATCAGAAATAATTATCGGATCTGATCATTTTGTGACTGTCATTTATCCGCTTTTAGTTTTCGAAAACAGTAGGTCATATTAAATATTGCTCCATTTTCTCTCAGCGTTTTCAGTGACTAATGATGTGGGAAAAGTAGCTTACTTATTTATTGCTAAGCTTCACTGCACTCATTCAGTTAGAGAGTATCTCTTGATTATTCAGTCTCAAAACCGATCTCAGATCGTTATGTTACAGATGTAAAAAAACTCAGAAAAAGTTCAAATTTTTAATCGTCTTCAGTACTTCAATCTCACTGTCCAAAAATACAGAGTACACCATGTTTGATGCACCATTATGAACAGTTTCTCTATTTAAGTGCTCAGTAGTTATTGTCGCGCCTAAATTCCACGAATGGTTATTTTGACGTGCATTGGTAAAATTCATTCGTTCTTGGCACTTAGTTTTTTCGTTAGTTAAGTTCAGATCTTGTCTTCGGTTCTTGCATACTTCTAGTTACTATTTATTTCGCAAGTTCATAAATTTCATCACACGCTATCCTTCGAAATTTCAAAACTAGACGTCAAAATCTTGTCAAAGTTGTTGAACAGAGCTTTGTTGTAATTTCCCTTCAGATAACTAGTAAGTAGTAGGTACTGGACTGTCTCAGCCTATACATATCAATAGAAATATAGTCAGTTAGTGCCAGTTCAGCTACATCTCCAAGTGCAAATTTCTGCCGTTCCTCTTGTCGATTTTCTCATACTGGACTTTGTAAATTATGAACATTACTTATACTGTCTTGTTATGTGATGCATATATCATAAGTTCGAATCTTATTAAACATCTGTTTAAATCTATTCTAAAAGATCTCATGTTGATTTCACGGTGGGAGTTTATTCTGATAAGCGTTTTACTACCTATCTACTCCGTTATTGTACTGGTTTGGAGAGTCATCATAGAGAGTACTGTTTGTTTTACCTAGTTAATTCTGCATCTCACAAATGCTTATTCTTATTTATAAATTCTGTTGATTTTCAGGTGAATTGGTACGCCTTTTAGGCTATAGTCCAGCTGGAGACTGGTCTGAGGTGGAAGCTTCTATTGTCTTACCACCTCTTCCCAAACCTGAACCGGGTAGTTCTACTTCCGGGTCAGAAAGTCATCCTTCTCAATGCACAGGTGGAGCTACTGTAAAGCATAATCATGGGCCCACCAGGGAAACTGGGAACAGTGTAAATACTTCTTGTATGTATTTGTTCAATAATTACAGACGTGGATGGGTACCAACGAGTTACTTAGCTATTACAAATGTCTTCCAAAGTTCTGCTCCTTCAAAACAGTCTTATTCACAACAGTTAATTAGTTGTGAAGGTTCAGAAAAGCCAAATTGCTCAGTTAATGCCCCTTGTTTATCTAATTCACAACCAATTATTGCAAATGACCATATGCAATCACGGGTACAAAACGTATCAAACAAGGGACCTGTTCATCATTTAATGATGGATTCATCGCCTCTAAGTCTTTTAGAACCAAGTCTTCTTCCATATTCATGGTATCATGGTGCTGTCTCAAGACAAGCTGGAGAACATCTCCTTCGAAGTGGTATCACAGGTTCTTTTCTGGTTAGAGCATCAGAATCTGCACCTGGTCAACTTTCTGTAACTGTGCGCCACTTAGGAAGAGTTTATCATTATCGTATTAGTCAGGACAGCAGAGGACTAGTATGTTCGTTGTTTTCTTCTCGTTTTTATGTTTTAATCCTAAAATGATCAGATTGATTAACCAAAGTTTTTTTTGCTTACTAACAAAACAATCTCAACATGTCAATAAGGATAATAAATTTCAAACGGGGAAATGTCATTGTAAGGAAACAAATATTTATGTTATTGCTCTGGTTTCTGAAAGATATATGGTTAACTCTAACAAAGTTTTTCTAAGAGGTATTTTTCGGATTTCTACACACAATTCCTGTTTACTCCATTTAAGCCCACTAAATAGTCTAACTCTGTAGTGTTTCAACGTAATACCTGTTTTAATTAGTATCAATACGCAAAAGTATTTAATTCTGAACTAATTCGTATTAAAGCTAAGTTAAGTAATCAACAGCTACATTAATTCTGTTCTACAAATTGATGAGCTATTGTAATGCACATTAATTCAACTTGCCAGTATTTAAAAACCCAGTCAATCATAATCAATATGGAACCTGGCGCAGGTGTGCGTTATCCCATGTTGCCATACCACGTAAATTGCGACGGGATGAAATTAACAAGATGTACGGTGAAGGAGTTGAAGTAATATAGTAGCGATGCAAAGGGCTAAACATTGAGAATCTGGTTCAAAAAGACAGTAACGAGTCGTGTATGAAATAATACTGGGATTCAAGGTCTAGAGCAGAGTAAAGAACGAATGCATCTGCTGTACCACGCATCTCCAACTTCTACCCAGATGTCTCACAACAGCGGCCAATGACTTCATTAACTGATGTCATGCATTGTTTTTACCGCCTTTAGATTTCTTTCAACCTATTCGTATACCAGGCAGCATCACCTTGTGACTAATTATGTGTAATATATCCTGACTACCTCAGTTGATGAAGATTTATAACCACATCAACTCATTTGCCATCTTTGCTTAGTACCCTATGCCTAAGATTAACATCGCTCACTCGGTCTTTACATTTAGCGCGAGCGATGGTTCGAATACATGTAGGGTCCAAAGCATGTAGTCAATGCATATCTTTTACTTTCAAAGAGTGTTTCGTAATTATAAAGTAATACAGGATGGACTGCCGTACAGCCTTCTCGCTCTTTGGTTGGCAGATGGACATCTCACCTAGGCCACAAGTGATGTAAGTTGGTAAGAGTTAACCCATCTTTTTGAATTCATGCTGGGATTTCATTAGACACCAATCCACGAATGGTCATAAGATTTCCAAGAAGTGTTTGATACTTTAAATTATTTCACTCCCTATGGTTAATATAGTCAATGATACAGACTAGTTTTAAAGCAACAATTCGGATTTAGAGGGAGAGAAATGCACCCTAAATACACTTGGGTTAATACTCAAGGTGACCAGAATATTCTGCACAACGTCAATTTTGTCACTGAGTAGGATTATTTCATCTGCATATTGTAAGTTAATAAGTGGGTCGCCCTGTAGAAGATAAATCCCTGAACAGTTAGATGAATAAAGTGTGATTCCCATAAAGACATTCATGGCCAAATTAAATAAATAGACAGTGGGCAACCCTGTCGAACCTCACTTGGGATTGACGATTGAGATGATAGTTCACCGTAAGCTCTGATTTGACCAATAGTGTTCGAGAGGAGATACCTCACAATGTTTATATACTAATTTTTTATTCACCGTAAAGCTAAGTAACCAGTAGAGTGATGTTAAAATGAGCCAAGTTTCACTACGTCATCAATTGATTTGCCATCCTTACCTAGTACCCGTTTCCTAACAACTGTGTTACTTACTCGATGGTCCCAGGATATACGAGCAATATTTCAAAGACATCTATGACCAAATACTAGTAACCTACGGATATCCTCTACTCTTACCGGCCATGTTTCACAGCCATAAAGTAGGACGGAACGAACTGCTGCTCAGTAAACACGTCCTTTGGTTGATAGACGGATATCTCGCCTACGTCATAAATGACGCAAGTTGGCAAAAGCTAGTCGAGCCTTCTGTATCCGTGCTGAGATTTCGTCACACACCAGACCACAAGGTCTGATGAGACTTCCAAGATAAGTGAAGCGATCGACACGCTCAGTTACTTCACTCCTTATCATTAGTTCGGTTGTCGATGTAACCCAATCCTGAAGCAACATTTTGCATTTCGAGGGGGAGAATCGCATCCCGAACATGCTTGCATTGTTGCTTAGAGTGGTCAGAAGACTGCATTTTTTTCAGCGTCTTCACCAAATAAAACTATGTCATCAGCATATTCTAAGTCAACAAGTGAACCTCCCGGTAGAAGTTCAACCACTGGAAATCTAGACGAGGAAAGTGTTATCTCTAAAAGTATGTCGACGACAAAGTTGAACAAGAATAAGGAGAGTGGGCAGCCCTGACGAACTCCACTTGAGGTAATCAATTCTGATGACAGTTCGCCATAAGCCCTCACTCTACCAGTTGTGTTCGAGTGGAGAGCCTTTAATGAGGTTAATGTACTTCTTTGGTACTCCTATCAGTGACGAACACTGCCATAGAACCTCACGATCAACAGAGTCGAATGCCGCCTTAAGGTCGAGAAATAATACCATTGTAGGGCGTCTGAATGTGTGTCTGTGTTCTAGAACCTGACGTAGTGTGAATATCTGATCTATACAACCACGTCCAGGTCGAAAACCAGCCTGGTTTTCTCTAGTCTGCTCTTCACGAGCTTTGATTAGGCGTCGAAGTATTATTAAAGCTAATATTTTAGACACTATATTAGTCAAACTGATTCCTCTGTGATTGTCACAAGAGGACTTTTGTCCTTTCTTATAGACTGGCACAATCAGTGATTGAGACCAGTCAGATGGGATTACGTCCAGTTCCCAAATTCTACCCAAGACCCCAGTTAATCTCACCGCTAATACTGAACCACCATCCTTAAAAATCTCAGGAGTAAACCTGTCAGGGCCTGCTGCTCTCCTTCGTTTCAGATTTTCTATGGCTTTTTCAACCTCGTAAAGAGACGGAGGACCTACATTAACTTGCCATTCAGGTTGACTGGAGATCGTGGGAAACCAAAGTGTGGCTGAAGGCCAGTTGAACTGATCCCTAAAGTGTTCTGCCCATCGATCCAATCTCCTGGATTGAGAATGTATAATATGTCCATCTTTCTCTGAGAGTGTTTCGCTAACAGTCGGTTTCCTAATACCGGTTTCCTCAACAAGTCTGAACAATTGTCTGCTATTACCTATTGCCGCTGCCTTTTCCATCTCTCTTGCTTTCGCTACACACCACTGTTCGCGATCATTGCGTAGGCTTCTTTTCAGCTTGTGCTTAAGCTGACTCCGCTCTTCATTATGTTCAGAGCCAGGTGGCATGAGTTTCCGAGCATTTATCAGTGAGATAGATGCTGCTGAGATCCAGTATTTCTCCCTAACCTTGTGGTTTACCTTACTAGCAGATATCACTGCTGTTTCCACAGCTTTTCGGATATCATTCCATGCTGCATGGGGGTGGGCAGCAGATACATGGTTGCCTAACTGTTTTTCTAGTTGTTCCTGAAATATACTCTTAGCTTGACTATCATTAAGTAGGACTCTAAGAGGTTTCCTTGCAGCGTCTTTCCTACGTCCAGTAAGACGCAGGCAAATACGCGCTCGCACTTGAGCATGATCTGAGTCTAAGCATGTGCTCCAGAATGAGCGAGTCTTCTATCGAGCCCCTCCATCGGTGGCTGATAGCGATGTGATCTGTTTGGGTCCAACGTTGGGACGAATTAGGGGGTCGCCATGTTAAAAGATGTTTTTCCTTATGCTTAAAGTTAGTATTTGCAAGAAAGAGGCGGTTATCTGAGCATAGCTGCAACAGACGGTCGCCATTATCTGTTCTTTGAGCCACGATGCTATAAGATGCACCCAGGTGTCTTTCCCTATCGCTTAGTTTACCTACTTGAGCATTAAAGTCACCGGCCACTATTACTACATCCGAGAGCCTAGCTTTTCGGAGAAGGTCCGAAAGCTTTCTGTAAAACTCATCTTTTACATCATCTGAGCTGCAGTCAGTGGGAGAATAGGCAGAGACGACGAAGAGGCAACGACGAGTGTCCCTATCTTTCCGGATTCTTACTGTTCCGTTCAGTCGGACAGCGCACAAACGACTGTCTACTGGGTTCCACTCTAAGAGAGCTAGTTCTGCCCTAGGACTCAATGCTATACCTACGCCGGCGAGGCCACGGGAAGCAGAATCAGGGCTTCCAGATTCACGAAGTGTGAATCGAGTCTGTTCTTTATTTTGGCATGGTGAGGTCAAGTGAATGACGCTACTCGAATCCTGTATGCGCGTTTCGGAGACGCAGCACACACCGATGGCGCGGGATTCTGAAGTCCTAGCTAAGGAAGCCTGCTGTCCTATTTGACACAGTGTTCGGACGTTAAAAGCTCCTACGTGTAGTTTAGAGCGTGGTTTCAGGAGACCAGGAATAGCGTTCCACGTACTCGAATTGTTTGCTGTAGCGGTGCGAGGTGATAAAGAGACGTGAGGAGGGTTAGTCATGGAGATAAGAGAGGTATTAGAAGGTGTAGGAAGGATTTGAATGTGACCAACTTGGTCTCGTGTGCTGTTACGGGTATGAGGGCTGATGTCACTTCCCGGCTGCCCACACCGTGGAAGGGTATTTCTTGAGGAACCTGAAAAGGAAATTGGATTAGTGTTGGTCTTAACGACCTGGGAGCGTGACCGCAGAGCCCAAGGGACAACTGCTTGAGGCCGGTCGCGCACGGCCTTTTTGTGGGAGGTTTTTGACGTGTTAGCTCCGTTCTTTAAAGGGCCTTACCGCCGGAGACGAAAATCCGTGAGGTGAGGTGTGACATTTTTAGGGTCGACCTTTTCTTACCCCATCCCTCCTTGTGGGAAGGCAGCGTCGCTGTCATGCTGGTTGTCCGAGGGAAACACCTTACTGCTGTCACACCCCTCTACAGTCAGCAGTACGACTTCGCCCTCAGACCTTGAGTTGCTGCTTTTAGTCTTACCGTTCTCCAATCGACCTGCCTGGCATGGTAGAACATACAGGAACATATGTTCCAGCCAATATAGCTCGGTTGGGTCATCACAATAGGCAAGCCCGTCCGGTCGGCCTCACATCTCCAGTACTAATTAAATCTTTTAACAGTTGCCTTCCTTGCTCATTAGATTCCTCATCATCCATATCACAAACACTTCCTTTCTAGCTTTGTTTTTTCTGCAAACGAGACTAGTTTCTTGGAAGTGCTCTCCTAACTACTGACTGGATCATTCATTGCATCGACCTTAAATGGTGTTAGCTTTATTGACTAATATTCTAGATTTTCGTGGGGTAAATGCATGTTGTCAGAGTCCACAGATAGGACAAGAACGTGATTACTTGCCTGACTTTGCCTAATCACTGAGAAAATCAAAACAATGAACGCGACGCCGAATAACATACTGGTGACCACAGAACAAATCGATCTATAAAGTTCGAATAGCATTAATAATTAGATAAACATGGCATTGGTTAGTACCTTATGATTAATTAGTGTATCTACGCGTTTACATAAAATGAAGAATATTGTTATGTTTGTTGCTTCGTGACTTACACAGTCAATCGCCTTCCTGCTCCAGAGAAACGCTCACGAGTGTGACGACTTTGAAAATACTATCATCTCTTTCTATCTATTAGTCAACATAAATACTAAAAATATTTGGTAGGTTGATGACCCGAGCAAACTCATGATGGGGATAACTGGAGTCCTAAAGAATATTGCACACTCTTAAAAGGCACAATAGCGATTACAGGATTCATCGGGACGGAAACGACCGTCTGGAACACAATAAACCTTTTAGATTATAGAAAACTGTCCTTGGGTTACATGAAACTGAAAATTTCTAAGGAAATACTACTGTTTTCCTTTGATTTTTTTTAGTGCTTATGGTATAAGAAAGCAAATATGAGCTACATAACTTTATCATTTTCATGATCAGTAAAGATATACTTGGCCACAAACATAATCTATACATTAGCTGTAGGCTAATTACTACATAACCAGAGGAATACTGAAATATAATTTACATTACGATCCCATTCCGATTCTCCTAGGTGGACTCGCCTTGTCCAGAATGGTCCGTACAATGTCAATTGAACTTCATCATTTCTCATTTGATTTTTATAAGATTATAATTCGGAGTTGTCGATCTTTTTCCAGTATAACCTATATTTTCACCAGACATGACAAAATCTACTGGGAGATTTATAAGTTGCTTATTTTAGATGAAGCACTTATGTTACATTTACACAGTAATCGACCATTCAAAGTTACGTAATACTGATTCCTATATATATATGGTACACGTAAATGTGTATATATCTAGTTCTGTCCTGAAGTTTACCATCTAATTTATATTCACATACTTTAAGAACTGTATATTTTTAAATAAAGGGTAACAGTTAATCATGTGCATCTATTAAACATATATTCGTTGACATATTTTCTCTGACTGTTGTTCACAAACAAACATGTCCATATCTATACATCTGTATATTTCAAAAGGTCGACTTTTAGGTAGAAAATGTTTTAAGACTGTTGGATAATTTTGTGTGTATAATTAGTGTTCAGTCCTATTTTTGTGCTCTCCGAAAAAGGTTTCTCAAATAACAATTTATCTGTCATGGCCTAAAAATTACCTAGTCAAGTGAAAATCAAAAGTTTAAACTAATTAAATGATATCTTCTTATCATGTTTTTGCAATCACATGTGACATGTTATTAATTCAATCCGATTTGCTTACTGGGTTTTGCTAGTCATATTCTGTCCCTTTTCTTTCAGAACTGTTCATATAGTCTTAAATTAGTTTGAAATAAGCAGTGTTATTCATATGGGTTGAACTGTCACTGTATAATATTTCGCCAACTGTTGATATCCATTTTTACTGTATACATAGAACCTAACCGGAAATTAATTTTTCAGTTTATCGTTTAGTTGAATTATTTCCTAGCATTTAACAAGGAGAAAATACTAATTTTTAATCCAACTAAAAATATATCACTTGATATGATTTAGGGATGCTTGAATTTTGTATATTTGTAATGCTTATTATTGAGACGAAGTTCTTTCTATTATTTGTACTATAATCAGTTGGGTGGTACTCGAATTGTGTTGATCAAAAAAGCGAAAAAATTATCTCAATTTAAACAAAAATAGTGTAATTGTCAATGTAGGTTTGTGGAGATTGTTGAATTTCACCGAAATCATGAACCGATCTATGTTAGATCGTCATTGTAAACGTGGAAGCACTGGACGGCCGTTTCGCCCTAGTATGGGACTTCTCAGTAGAGCAAATCCACGACACCGCACGTGGGGATTAAATCCAATACCTTCGGTCTCGCAAGCGAACGCTTAGCCTGTAGACCAATGAACCTCCATCCAACAGCGCTATTGTCCAACTTCAAACAATTTACGACATTGCGCGAAATGATCGTTCAATTCATCTGTGTTTTCAACGGCGGTCCAACTTAGATCGGTTCATGATTTTAATAAAATAAATGTAAATTGATAAAATGAAATGAATATACAGTTTAAAATAATTGTGATTAGGAAACTACCATTTAGAGGAACAATCAAAACCAGTGAGCATTGGTCAGTAGCATTTGTCTTACTTTACATTAAGAGAACTCAAAGTAAGTTTTTTTAGATTTCTTCCACTTAGTTCAATTCCATTTACGTGAGCTACTGTACTTTTGTAAATGTCAATTCATCACTAATGAGATATGACTGTACATGTGTCTTCATAATCGCACCCTCACGCTACACAATCGATTTATTCAATAAATGTGTATATAAGAAATTTTTAAAGTAAATAGAGTACAAGAATATACATTTTATCATTTCTAGAAGCTTACCAAGACTGAAAGAGACTTTCTGACAGCTGTTTTAAATGATCAACAGTACACATAAATTAGCTGTTTTCCGTATCTGTTTCTAGTGACTGTGTACATATATATATTTGTTTATTAAAACTTCATGTATTTTTATATTTTTAAAATTGGTTTTTAAAGTTATTGTAAATCAATGTTAAAAAATTTACAAGGTTACATTTTGTGTTGTCGACAACAGTTGTTCGAGATTTTCATTTCTAACCTGAAATTGTTTCTTTTGGTGCATGTACACACAAACTTTTCGACAGGCAATTATTTGTCATACTTTTATGTGAATGAGATACTGTTTTTCTCGTGATTAAAATATTCTAACTTAAGTGTGTGTTCATTACTAATTGATTTTAATCGATATTATACATATTGCGACATTGTTTGTTACAGTTTGTATTAGTCATTAGGCCTTATCTTTCAAGAAATCCATGGCTTCTTTTTTTCTCTAAGTAGTTTATATTTTTCATTGGAAAATAATATATCAATAAGTTTACGACATGTTTTACACTTTTGTTATTTTCTGCTTTTGTGCATAGTTTCCTTCGTTAGATATCGATAATACTGAACTTATTTTACTTGAAGTTGTTTAAATGGTCTGATATTTATAAGTTATTTTGATTTGACAATAATGACCACTTACTGTAAGATTTCATTATACTAATTAACATTATTTATTCATTATGTGAATATACTTTAGGTTTCGGCCTACTAGATGCAGCTTTAGAGCTCTCAGTTATATTATTTCAAAAAAGAATGGGCACAAAAATAAACTATGCGACTAAGGAGAGGGGTATAATCAAAACAGACAAATAAATAAAGATAAGTGCAGTTAAAAAGTTGCAATTGGGAAGAATTTTTTCATTCGAAAAAGTTTCACTTTTGCGAAGAATGTAGGAAAAAAGCTGTCGCGGGAACGTCTTTATCTTATATCTTGAGCCATGTTTAATAACGTCTATGAATCCAACTGTAGATTCGTGATGGGCCGAACAATTCCAGTCCAATACAGCTTTCTTTCAAACCTCGACACTATGTCATAATTTAACCACCTCTCCGTCGTTTCTACCCAATCCTACTGTTGGAAAAGAATGTTTGATATAGAATTCTCTGGGATGACAATCGTAACACATATCTAAACCATCGAAACTCGGTTTTTTGAAACGGTGTCACCGGTTTCTTATTTTATTTGGGTTATACATTAATTGTTTGTTTCCTTACTAGTGACTTGTTTATCTTTGTGAGTCACACTCGTTAAAATATGCATGTGAGTATTCTTTTCTGTACTATTAACGAGGTGTTTTTCTCAGAATAGAGCAGTTTTCTTTGCGACTATTTTCATCAATTGATTATATTTCAAGTTGCTAACTCTCATTGATTATTTATTTCGGGGGAGGGATTTTTCAACGTAACATCCTTTAAACTTATATCCTTAATTCAGCAGACATTCTCGAGATTCGATAAAATCGTAGTGTAAATGATTTCGAGTTTCTTAAGACCTTGATATATGAGAGATATTATTAAGTGCAGCATCTAACAATTAAACTCATTGTTCAGTTACAATAAAAACAGTTTTTAATACCATCCAGATTCATATCACCAAGTATTTTTAAAACATTTCTTTTAATTTTAGTTCTATATAACGGAAGCTCATCGATTCCCGACCGTCGTTCAACTAATTGAACACCATTCTCGTTCTGCTGATGGTTTGGTTTGTCCACTTCTTTATTCAGTACCGAAACCGCAATTTTTAAATCAACCCATGCAACAATCTTGCTACTCATCTGTCCCTCAAACACTACCCAGTTCAAGAATACCTGGTCAAAATCAGTTTGAAGTCAATCCCATTGTTCATCAATCAAATGCTGAAATATCTAACTTCCCTTTAACTCATATAAATCCCGTATCACATGTGCCCAGACCATTTCATCCAAGTCATATAAACAATTCAGAAAGATTAAGTGCTTGTAGTGATTCTATCGGAAGTATGGAATTTGATGGATGGGAAATTGATAGGTCCGAAATTATTATGCGTCAAAAATTGGGTAAGTGAACAGGTTGTTATCTTTTATAGGCTTTTTAATATATGTCAGTTGTTATCCAGAGAATTTAGATTTGTTTTGTTATACATTTGCGTGTTTTCTCTTCTACTTAGTTAGTATATTGATGAGGAGACGAATTTACTAGGGGATGAGTTGACGAAATCTCAGGATAATTAATCTTTTACTATTTATTATAATCCGAAACTTAACATTTTGCATATAATTCTATTTTCACGAGTTCTCAGTTTACAATAAAAAGTAATTTATTTCGATTTCTAGTCAACCATTCAAGCAATGTGATGTGACTAGCTCAAATAATAACATTGTTTAATATAAGTATCATCAAGGTATCTTTCGTTTTGGTCTTTGAAGTGTTTTAAGGTTTATTTCACTTAGGATTCTGTCATTTGAACTTATAACTTTTATTTACTCATAGCGGTTAATCTTTTCTTTTTATTATAAGTGGTTTAAAGATTTCACAAACATTTTTGTATTATCGTAGACAATGTAAACCTTATTTATTCGCAAAACTACTGTAATGTCGATCAGTAACGGAACTATTTTCCTTCTATATAGCTCATGTAAAAACCGACAGGGTTATTTTATTCAGTTAAAAGAAAGTGAATTATTTTCCTGTTCATTGGTATTCCTAGATTTTTCATTCCATTTATATTGCATAGTTCATTGACATAGGATGGAAAATAATTGCATATAATGATGAAAGGTGACTTACTCTTGGAGTATCTAGTGTTCAAATTTGGCATATACATTAGTTAAATATACCAATTTATTATAAATTGGTAATTTGTCTTTATCGACTGGTTTGTTGACTGGTTAGCCTCAATATACTAACATACTTTCAATTTGAAACGGTTTTTATTATCCCGTTGTTGCTATTTTTGACTGAAATCTGATCAGTCTCGGATTGCACTGTTAGCTAAATTTCATCTGTTTTATGTTAACTTACTTTGCCAATATTAATTATTTATAATTATTTATTATTTATTTACTAAACGGATGTTATGTGCTCAACTTGGAGTCGAAATTTTTGTGTGACAGCTAGTGATAATAGCCAGTTAACTCTAACTGAGATATCTAACCTAATATTCGAACTAGCTACCTGGTATCTAAACGTCAGTTTAATTAATAGGCCATAGGTATTTAAGAATCAGTTTGCATAAGTGTTTATCCCTTACAAACAAATCACCGCGTTTTGTGAAAGTTAATCACATTTCTTAAGAACGTACAAAATGTAGGTTAATAAAAGGTACGACATAAAGAAAGTTATTTTTCTGAGTGGATAGTGTAAACGAAAATACTATTTGGACTCTTTTAAAAAGGAATGCAGACATGAGTATTATATTCTCGGACAAGTACCTAATGGTACACGTGACCTAGTAATTTCCACTTCTAAAAGTTTGTGTTAAGTAGAGATGTATCTGTCTATCTACCTATTGCTAAATAACCATCATATTATCCTGTGCTCATAAGTATGATGTATTATCAACTAAAATGATCGACCGCTTTGCATTACGGCTAAATTAACCATCATCTTAAATTTTTCATGACACAACGTAAAGATGTGTTTTGCCATATTATCATGTCTTCACTAGTTACTTGCTTCGAGACGAAATTTCCGGAGTTCTATTGCGAAGCCATGACCAGTGAAACTCAGCCATTTCGGATGTGAGGATGGTATCCACCAAAGATAATAAAAGGTGGTTGCGCAATATTGTGTATTGATTAAAGTTGGGCTTGCCAACTATTGAATTCGGAATTACCAGTTTAGAGGTTGATCCCTTACTACGAAACCGATGGTACTTGGTTCAGTCTCTAGGCGTGGGTGCCCACTGATGAGAAATCCTATATCAGAATGAAACAGTTGTCCAGGGCTTCATGGTTTTCAGTGATTATTTAACTTTGATCAGTTCTTGATCTCAATAATATTCAACTATCTCCATAACCTCCATACTGATAATATTTTCCAGTTCTCCGTGTGTACGTAAATGCACAGAAAACAATGAGGTACAACGAACTCATTGTAGTTTTTGCAAAGCTTATTCTTCTTACTTTACAAATGCGTAACAATCAGTTCCAGCATTACTGGTTAGCTAGTAAAAGATTGTTATTTAGAAACTTTTTAAAGGTACAGTACTTCGTTCGTCATTCGTCTGCTTAAGCAGTTATTTTAATATTTATTATCCACAAGGCTGTTATTCCGTGTGCAATCGTATTTCAACAAACATAAGCCTTAAATTATTTTTTGTTGTTTTTGTTACTTTGTTTAGGCTGTGGTCAATATGGTGATGTATATGAAGCTATATGGAAACGTTTTAACTCTGTTGTTGCAGTAAAAACACTGAAAGTAAATCAATTATCTGTTTTTGACTTTTCTTGTGGTTTTCATTTTTGTCTTATTTGCTTCTGTACTGTTTTATGAGTTTAATAACCAAGTATATGACCTCATTTGGTCAGCTCTCAGTTACACAGTTTAGAGTATAGTGTCTAGTGATGCTAACTAGCTTCTGAAATTGAAGATAGGTGGGGCTGTTACCTGCAAGTATATAGTTGAAACTCGAACGCATTTGTCATAGGACCACTGAATCACCTTTGGTTTTTTACCCAGCTAGTGGCACTAGGCATCATACAAAGACTGCGATTTAGAGTTGATCACATATACACACACACACTTGCATTTCTTGTGCACAAAGTTTTTGTGATGCGATTGATTGTTTATCTTAATAATAATATATATTTGAGCCAATGTATTCTTATCATACCATAATACTTGTTTTCCTAAATATGATTGGGTTGTGTGGGGCTAAATCTGATAATTCATTGACAGTAGTGGTTTGCTAACTGTCATGATTGAATTTCATAATAGTCAGACAATCAGACACACATGAAAAACTTCGGATCTGGATTACACAAGTTGTATTTGCCAAGTTTACAGTTCGTTTATAAGTAGTAGTACACTATCATATGAAATGAGACCAAGTATATATAGGTAGACAATTTTATTCGATGGTTTTCAAAATACAATCTAAAATATAATATGTGTATGGTATGTATTTGTATATATGAACTATTTTCGAGATTGTTAATACTGATATTGTACTGGGTAATAATATGGTTTGTTTAACAATCATTAATTGATTGGTTGTTAACTAAATGTACTTAGCTTTCTTTCTTTTAAGTAAAACAAAACAAAAAGATGAATCTGTTTTTTTTCCAGTTCATTTTATGTTGGATGATGATGTAATCAAGTTATTTCATGTTTTAACAGATTGATTAAATGATATGTGTTTTTCTGTTCTATGTTGAAAGTCACGAAAAAAGAATATGCATTACTTTAAAAGTTAGTCAGGAAAAAAGATTATGGAAGAAAACAATCAAAGTTAATTGTACTTTTTAAAGCATACACGAATGTATCTATTCTCTTATTCGTTGCATTTTGTTCGTGGTCAACTTTAAAAATACTTGTCAGTGAGAATGATATAATCATTTCTTTCGAATTTTATTTTTTGATTGATTTATCTCAATTCATGTTTATTCTTTATTGCTATTACGTTTTCATTTTAGTGAACCATAGTGTAACATTGTGTATAGGTTGCTCTACTCGATTCTGATCTACGCTTTGTACATGTATATTGGTTTGTATGTAATTTATTAGTGATAGTATACGGTTAATAGTTTCAACTTAAATGAATTTGCAGCGTAGGAATTAAAAGTTATTGTAGAATCATCGTAAAGATACTTATTTTGCAATTATTAATGCTGATTAAGTAGTCTTCAATATACTGGAGGGAGGAACTTTTACAGTCAAAACTTCACTGATATCAAATGTAGATCATTATGCTATCATTATTCATTTAAGCTTGTATTATTATTCACAGTTATTTACCATATTATTATTATTATTATTAATATCAAATAAAAATTGGTACAGATATCTGTGGCAGGTTATTCTAAAGAAAATTTTCTGTCACAACTTATTGAGCAAAGGCGGATGTAGATTACCATTACGTGTTAGTTTACTGGAGATTTTAAATTATATATGCTTAATGGTAGCTTATAACGGTATATATTCCTTTTAATTCATAGCAGATCAATTCGAGTTCGGAATGGATTACCTATTTGGTTATAATGTCGATTGTCTTAACCATTTCATATTATATTATGGATAAATTTAAATTACCATTGTTAATCATTCATCATCGCTTTAATACATACTGTTATTAGGAGTCATTCATTACACCCGTTCACATTATAATGCAAGCTTACTTCATCCCTATTTGTTAGTACGATTTTCTAATAATAATTCGTGTAGATAGTTATATTTTTATGTTTTTTCTTGAGAAAAATGTTGATAAAGCGAATCACAGATAATGGATTCTGTGCGTTATTGATCTATGAATTTTTCTTTTGCTAAACCTACAAACAATTAGTGTGAAACACGTTTTCCCTATTCACAGCTTATATGATCTTTCTCTTGCTTTTATTTAAAAAAATAATTTTATAGCAAGATGTTAATTTGAATGTCAATGATTTTCTCAAAGAAGCTGCTATTATGAAGAAGTTACGTAATAGGAATTTAGTTCAATTATTAGGTATGTTTTTGTTGTGGTTCTATTCACTTTTTAATATTTCTTCATGGTTTTATATTCATAAAATGTATTTAATCGTCAAGTAAAATTGGTTTCAGTAATTTCGATTCGTTTGCCATTATATTTTTCGATTAACACTTTTATTCGTCGAATGTGGTCAGCCCCCTCAAATTTTTAAATGAGAGGACACTTTCCCTAACCCACTTTGTTTGGATCAAAAAATTTATTTTACGAACGTAATAGTGAGAATGTAGAAAACTTAATTTTTTTCGCAAGATAATATGTTGAATGAATATGTTAAACTTTTCTGTTTTAGTTTGTATATCAAACTATTTCGTTAGAATCTTTCAAATAGGCATTTAATTAATTTTACTTGCAAACTTTCTGATTGGAGTTTACTGAACAGTTGTTATATGTGCTGAAAGGCTTTAAATAACTATGGGTCAAGATCGATTATAGTGGCACAGATTCACTCATTTGTTAACTTTTGATAAATCATACGTTTTGACACTAGTTTGCTTTACTATCATTGATATTATCAGTTCAGAACCTTTGGTTTTCATTTAATTTCGTGTTTTGCTGTGTTTATGTGAATACAGTATGCAGCCATCATCTGTTATCTACCATCCATCGTTTCACACTCGACAGGATTGAAATTCACTGATCAGTCACAGCTTCTCACTAGAACTCTCGGAATCAGCCTTTGAAGTTATTGACTGGTGCGCGCATAATGATTGTTATTATAGGGTTTTCGGGAGCTTTTCTTTCAAAATGTACGACGTGCTTTCTGAATAATGAATGAAGATTTATTTTTCTGGTTATTGATTATCGTGATCTCATTATAATTTCACTAGATCTTGATGTTGAAAATATGACTTATTGTTTCTGCATTTTTTGAATGAATTCTTGAACTGGATTCTGTTTAAGGGACCTAAACATGAACTGCCAACGGTATAATACTAGTGCAGGTATACTGGAGGAAATATGCTCAGTTCATTGTCCCTTAAGTTTAATTCTCTTTAACGATGATCTTTGGAAAAAAAATATTAAAAATATGTATATTTTCTATTTCGTTTATTTTCACTGTTCTATTTAGGCGTATGTACTCGAGAACCGCCTCTTTACTTAATTACGGAATATATGCCAAATGGGAATTTATTGAATTATTTACGTACACGTAGTCCAGGTGAACTCACCCCGCTTACTCTACTTTATATGGCTGTTCAAATCGCCTCTGGAATGGCGTATTTAGAAGCTAATAATTTTATCCACAGGTAGGTAATGTCACTATTGTCTGCATCGTGTTATTTTACTTATCAGTAGAATTACATTGAATTTAATGTAACTTATGTTATGTGGTGCAAACGTTAGTTTTTGACATTAATCGTAATATGTATTTTAAATATTGAAATTTAGTTAGTATCATGGGGTTAGTCATTGAACTCAAATTATTAAATCATTCTGGGAATCACGTGATTGCAAAATACTCAATATTTACCGATACAATAAAGTAGCCGCATGTCAAGGTCGGTCGATGGCAATCAAAAGTGACCTACAGGACAAGTATATTTCATTGGCTAAGAAATAGATCAATTATATATATCAGAAGGGGTTTTGTGGAGATTTTAGAAATTTCATTGATTAAAATCATGATTCAATTGAAGCTAGACCACCATCGAAAACCTGGAAGCACTGGGCGGCCGTTTCGTCCTAGTGCGGGACTCCTCAACAGTGCGCATCCACGATCCCTCACCCTGCGAAACTCGAACCCAGGACCTATCTGTCTCGCGCCAGGCGCGAGTGCTTCCAGGTTTTCCATGGTGGTCTAGCTTCAATTGACTGATGATTTCAATTAGTGAAATTATATATATATATATATATATATATATATATATATATATTTGTATTTTACTCAGTAGCCCAGTGTACTTTTCTCCCTACTCTTGTTCTCACTCAAGTAGTCAATTGGGGGACCGGCTAGTGTGTAGCGCGTCGTGTATTGGTATCATATTATATATTTATTTATTTTAACACATAGATATTGGTACAAGGAGGCACCAAATAGATTTGCGCCACACAAATCATTCGATTTGTCTGAGGGCTGCCCGGGTGCCCAGACCGAAGCAGGTGGTTTTCTTAGGGACCACACCCCGAGCCTTTGACCTAAAGGTCTAACCCACGAGGCAGTGGAGAATCGTGAGGAGATGCAATCCCATGGTAGCCGGTGACCAACGATTGGCTCATACGCCATTTGTTCCCGCAGGATACTGGAGCCCATGTGCACCATTGGTTTGGGATCGGGTTAAAGCGCCGGACATTCGCTTTTCGTCCTCTAATTTTCGTAAACAACACCCCTGCCACGAGAAGGTAGTGAGTAGGACTTCCGTGGCAGAGGCTGTATACGCGTGGCCGTGTAAGAGTATTTCGAGAGGGAGGGCGGGCCCACCCCACTCTCGGCCATACCAGGGCATTTTGGGGCGGTATCATATTTTTGACACCGTCCACCATAACATTTACTCTACATTGTAATTCAGTACCAGTAGAAAAAATACTTTAAATAACTGAAAATTACATAATAAAATTAGGACATTTTTAAAAATGCTTTACATTACACGAAACTATTTCATCCGAAATATTTTATTCATAGAATTAATGTATTATTGATGCAGTAATGATAACACAAAATACCTTTTAAAGAATAATATACTTACATTATAAAGATATCAGTATATAACAATCCTTTGCTGATTACCTTTAGATATTGTGGTTTATTTGGTATATGTAATCGTATTGTTAGTTAATTCAATAATGTGATTCTATTTTCAATGTATGTCTTGTCAGTAGTTATTCAATTTTTAATATACATTCTTTTTAAAAATCTTGTAAACTAAGTAATATTTTTGTAAACGATTCTATTTATTATTTTATTTTACTTTTTTTCCTAGGGATTTAGCTGCTAGAAATTGTTTAGTGGGTGATCAACATTTGATCAAAGTTGCGGATTTTGGTTTAGCACGTTACATGCAACGGCAAGACACTTATACTGCTCGTAATGGTGCTAAATTCCCTATTAAATGGACTGCTCCTGAAGGTCTTTCTTACTATTTGTTCTCATCAAAGTATGTTGTTTTTGTAATTAAAAAGAAACTTGTTTAATGTTTGTTTATATTAAATTTGATGCATGACGTGTTTTCTTAGCGATTTGTATATAGCCATATTGGACATCACTGAATTTTACAGGACTCGTCTTTCATTTTCGTTGAATGTATAACATAGTTTAACTCATTTAATTAAATATATTATAAAAGAATGCAACTTAATAATTTTTACCTTTGTAGGTTGGTAATTTTAAGTACTGGATTAAAACCACTCGCTGATGAACTCTGCTTAATAAAATCTTTTATCTCTATTGTTTTAATCATCCATTGCCTCTAATTTGATATCTAGTGACCCCATTATTATTATTAATTTTATCAAACACATCAATTAAATCCATTATTTCATTATTTCTTTTATCTTAAACATAAGTTTGAAAATGTAGCATAATTTGTTTTATGATTTCTCTCAACTTCATAAGTATTAACATTGTATGGTGGTTTCTATGTTATAAGCTTGTAATCGATTCAAGGGTTTTAAAATATCAACTTAAGTTTGTACTTTATCCTTTAATATTTAAAGAGATATTTTTTATCTGAAGTTAAAGCATCAGATGAATAAAGAGTGGAAACTAGGAAGCAACAAATGCGTGTATCGTACAATTTTGGGACTCTATAGTAATTCATATTCTCAGCCTAACACGGCACCAAATCCAGCACATTTAAGTTTTGCTACAACCATATTATGTTTAGACCAATAAGTTGAAATCTAGTCCTCTAAATTTCTCTTATCAATCAGCTTGTTATGTAGTATGTGTTTTCCCTTTTCGACGTCAACTGTGAGTTACTAATAGGTTGACTTAGCAAATCAGTACATCTCATTACGACCTAAAAAAACTCAACTCTGTCAAGAATGCGTTTTTTGCTGATTATCTCCGACCACCCGACACTAAATGCTGAATTTTGCTTAGAACTAGTTGTTAAGCCAACAACTATGACTATTTTAATTTGTGGAGATGGTTCGTTTTCTGGTAGACTTAATTACGGCCGTTATACCTCCCCACAGCCCGAATTTTATCACCAACCTGTTCATTTAAGTTTGGAGGATACTTTCTGGTATTTTTTTAGTATGGAGTGATGTCACTACCAACTTGCTTCTCACTTCAAACTTCTTGGTGTCCACTCCGAGCTGAGGGAAACCATGTTGCAGACTTCACAAGCTAGCAGGTAGCAAAAGCCTACTTTTCTTGACCGACCGTAATCACAGTTAAATGCATCCTGTAAAGTAAAATATATTGTCGTTGCTACATACGATATGATTCACTAAACAAGTGTCTATACAGTTCAGAATAAGGCCAGATGAATATATAACGGAACTCTTAGCCCTAAATGGTAAATAAGTCTATGTTCCTTAAACAATGTAAAATGAGTGTTATGAACCACAGTGCATACATATAGCATGGAAATAAACATCAGCCTTATTTTTTTGTAGTAGTCCAGGTGACTAATTCATCAGTGAATTTTAATTGAAAGAGAGGTATCAGGACTGTCAACAGATTCATATAACATCATGCTTTGCGAATCGAAATTTCTCGTGATGAAACAATTAAATAAAGATTTGTTCGTCATTATCCTTTACCAAAATAAAGAAAATAAATTACGTTGTTACATTTGCGTTGGCTTACACTGGGAGGATGACAGTAAAGAATTTGGTGCAAATTGATTGTAATGTGTAAATGTAATTCTTTTCTTCTTTCTATAAATAAGTTTAATGGTTAATATTATAATATTGCGCACAGATTCCATTTCGGTACTACATTCATTTGTGTTTGTGAACACACACACATTTATTTATGAAAGGCGACGAACCATCAATGAATGGATTTCTTTCTTTAATGTTCACAAATAATACATCTTGACTAGATAAGTTCATTTTAAATATAACTAAAATTGCTAATTAACCTAATCGTTAGATAAATAAGTTTGCCAATAATTTATTGTCTAATGAATTATCTGTTGTGTACCTGTTTGTGGTTAGTTTGTTACAAGTCAATTGGTTTTGTTAGACTTCTGATATTTTTCATAGCATGAATTGTTGTCTTACCAATAATCTTCAGATAGTTTTTTTTAACGACTATACCCATCATATCAGTAGAAATAACAACCGATCATATGTAATAATTTTCAAATAAAATATCATGGAAACCTATTGTTTAATTTCGTGTACATTAATCATTCTAACTAAATTAATTGGTGTATATATATAGTAAACGTAAGAGTTACATAAGAATGTAAACTATTTCACTGAAATGTTTTTTTCATAAGTGTTTTCAGAAGGCCTTGGGATACTATTCTCTTTCATTTATGTAATATTACTGCAGGATTAAGAGTTAGATTTATTGGCGTATTTAGTTGAAATATAAAAATTATAGTGTACTCTCTTTTAGCTGATTTTCATCGTTTACTGACAAATAAATTCTTTGAAAATAGTATTACATAGAGATAACATGTCAGTTGCTGAGAATTAATAATAGACCTTCATCAACTGTGTTAGTTAGGATATATATAATGTATATTATGTCACCGTCTACTCCAAATTTCAATACTAGCCAGTGTAGAAGTAGACATACAGAGAACTTACTAATAAGTGAATCATTTCATGTGTCATTGATACATATTAAGATATATTTTTTGTAACTGATTATATTTCTTCTATCGTTTTATGTACATTTTTGTAGATCGGATGTATGGGCTTTTGGTGTAGTCCTATGGGAACTTGCCACCTATGGTCTTTCACCTTATCCTGGAGTTGAATTGCATGATGTTTATCATCTTTTAGAGAAAGGTTACAGAATGGAACGGCCACATGGATGCCCAGAAGCAGTTTATTCTATAATGTTAAGATGTAAGTAGTTATATTTTTCATCTTTTCTATTCACTACTAATATTATTGCCACTTCTTACCACCAGTACGTCAATCATTTTTGTTCCCAGTTTGTAGAATTTCAATCTGTGCTTCTTTAAAAAAAATCTATATCCACTGAATCAATGCGATTTTCTTTTTTTGTAGCTTAGTGTATGTCAGCATGTTTTCTCTGTTGTTGTGTTTATCGATAGCTCACTAATGAGGATGTCCCTAAGTAGTTGTTATTTACTGATTTAAAAAAAACATATTTTCTTTGTTAAAATTGATGTATAAAACAGTAATAACCATCATTTTAGTGGTAAATCTGTATTCTTTCAGATTATTTCTCAGACTGATATATATAGGTCTGATATGTCATTCTATGCAGTATTATCTGTAAATCCAATCAACTAGTCGTTTCAAATTTTATTGATGTCACGAACCAAGTTAAGTTAAACAACCATTGAAAACTTGGGAGTACTGAACAACTATTTTTTTCTTAGTATAGGAATGCTTAACATTGTACATTTATGACCTCACTACTGATTGAAGTCAAGATCTTCGGTTTCAAAATTTCTAAAATTTTTCCGTGATTATCTCTGTTTTAGATGTTTTTGACTGATCTAAACTTAAATGGTTGCGTTTTTCTTGTTCATTTTTATGGAAAAAATGTTTGCTACTAATCTTTTTAAAATCGGAATGTCCTTCCTGATAAAATGACATTCACTTTTTTCTGAACTTCAGTTTTCGCATATCTTTAGTAAATATTAAAACTATTTTTTATATTGGTGAGATTGAACTCCTTATGTTTTTGCCCTTTAATTTCTGAAATATATCAATTTGTTATCTGATGAATGTAGTATTCTCCTCATCATTTGAACATATCAATATGGTGATTTGTGCTTTGAAAAATATCAATCTATCATTCTCCACTTCCACATCAGCGTAATGAAGAGGGTATCACCAAAAGTAATACTATAAGAAATACAAGTTATAATAATAAATAGCTTATAAAATTTAGTATAACCGTGAAATGAAATCAATGAATTTGTTGAATAATAATAGGTGTAATATGTGAAACAGAATGAATGTGTCTGTGTCGCTCCGACTAACTTTGAAACGTTTTCATAACTGTTTCACAATTACTTTTTATACTTGGAATGTAAATGTAATATCCTTCCACAGAACAAACATTTATAACTCGGTCGACTGATTCCAGTTTAATTCCTCGTCCTTTCTTCACCCTACTGTAACATTGAGGTCGCTAAAACTGATATGATCGCATTAATTGATCTCGTTTTACTTAGGTGTTGTTTAAATACAGTGGTTGATATATTTTCGATATATAAACTAAATTTTTTCTTTTATTCTATCTGATTCAGGTTGGTCTTGGGATCCTAATTTGCGGCCTTCATTCAGTGAAATCCATGCAGAACTAGAACAAATGTATACAACTATGAACATTGAAGCTGGTAAGCTTGAATCCCTACCTAACCAGCCTAATATGATAGCTCTTTTATCTTAATAACTAATTCGATTTTCTTATCTACTCATTATATATATATATATATATATATATATATATATGGGCAGTGTTGTTATTTATTTTGTCTTCATTAGGTTTGTAATAAGTCATCACACTATCGTTGAATTGAATTTTTCTTGTTTAACATAGTAGGTACGAAATTTCATATATTACTGCCTTAAAAGCTATTATTATCTAAGCGTAGATGCATGAGTGTTAACCAAGTGTTCTGTTCATCTTTATGTGCTTCAGCGAGTACTGCTTTAAAAAGTTGTTTATTGATTGTGCCTCTTATTTATCTATGGTTATTATTAGTTACATTGTTATTTTCAAAGTATTAAATTCCATAGAATTCCTAATAGTATGCTCATGCAGTGATTTTATGTCGTCGTCACCTATGAGTCTGTAAGTTCGGATTCCACATCGACTATTTTGATTTGGATAACTGGGTATTGTCATTAACCCTTACATACAAGCAATCTATTCGAAAACTGACTACCCAAACCTATATTGGACGAGTAACAGTAATGAATTTATTAACGTAGGTACTCGATATGTCAGTTGACTAAATACATCTAAAGCCAAACATAATCATTGGATGCTCTACCTGCTTCGGTCTGGGCACCCGGGCAGTATCACAGCCCTCACACATATCAAATGAGATTTTTGTAGTGCATATGTATCTGGTGCCCTCTCGTACCAATATCTGTGCGTTTAAATAAAATAAATAATTGGATGCTCTGTTTCTCTCCTAGTTCATTCGTTGTGTAATGAATCATTGTAAGTATAGTTGTTGACAAGTTTCTAACACTGTATTAGGAAAAAATTGTTTTCTAATTTACTATATATTAGTTATTGTTGTCTGTAATGTTCATATTAACGACATTGAATTTAGTATTGTGCTTGACATACTGTGCCGTGAAATAAGCGTTAACATGTACACCTATGGGTCTTTTCACTCAGTTTAGAGTGCATTAAAATTGATTTTCCCATTTAACCTGTCACACTGTTCTACTACATTGTGATAATTAATGAAACAATATGCTTTTCCGTATTCAAATCACTATTCAATCGATTCCCGTAAGTAGTTCCATTAATGAATAATAATAATCGTAGTAATTATTCGATGCATATTATATGACTGTTAGGTGTTAATTTTGTTTCACTAGTATTTTATTTTATCTAGTTAAATATTTCTTATCAGCTTACCTTTTCTGGTGCAGTTTAATTATCTTATTTAACATATTGTTTAATTTACTGTACTTTACGAGAAATCGACTTTAACGAAGAAAAGGTGTTTTTTCAATTAAATTCTCATCAAGCCTCAATACTAAAACAGAACTTTACACTTGAATGTGAAGAATCAATACAAATTAATTGGTTGTGAGTAGATTAACACAGTAATGATAATAATACTCAGGAAATAGAATTCTAATTGATTGGTCATTAAGACTGATTACACAACAATGAAGACGTAAACAATGTAATTCGTTACTCGGATTGATTACATAAAGACGGAGGAAAATAACGGAATAGCTAATGTAAACATGTATTTAGAATTGTATGGGTGTGTTGATTCTTGAGAATAATTGCATGTCAATAATAATAATGAAAAATGTGAGAGATATGTTTGAAATCAGTTTGATGGTGAGGACAAGGCGGGGGAGGCTGTACACACACTTTTTCTTGATGGAAAGACCAGGTTTATTAAGGTGGATTCCTATAGCTTTCGCTGAATGTAAGAAATGACATCTGAAAATATGGGAATTTTATGGAATTCGATATTTCATTTTTCATTTCACATTTACATCGACTTGATGACTAGTGTCGACCAGATGTATCAAGATATAGTTTCTTATTCGTTTCATGATTTTTTCATCTATGAAGTACGATATTCCGAAATACGGTGATGGGCTTAACTCATTGTACGCTCAGTGTAACTGGTTTCACATGACTCGTCGAATTGGCAAACACACACAAAGGTTGTTATGCATTGAGACGCTAACCAATATCACATGCTGAAGTCGCCAATCAAAATTCTAATTTTAATTTTGTCTGTTTCACGTCTACTATTTCTTCTACAGTGAAATATCCGAGACTTGATTAGTTATGGGCCTGACTAGTATCGTTGTTCGTGAGCGGACGCAGATAACCTCTTGTCGATTAACTTTTCGCAAGTTTTTCTTTATGTCCTACCTTGTGTCCGAAAAGTCAACAAACATCTCTTATTACTAGATTTCAAAAATATATGGGTTCATATACAAACAGACTGGACTGAATCGGACCATAAAACGAAAAATGACAAGAATATACAAACCAATACATTCAGAGAAAGCTATAGGAATCCACCTTAATAAACCTGGTCTTTCCATCAAGAAAAAGTGTGTGTACAGCCTCCCCCGCCTTGTCCTCACCATCAAACTGATTTCAAACATATCTCTCACATTTTTCATTATTATTATTGACATGCAATTATTCTCAAGAATCAACACACCCATACAATTCTAAATACATGTTTACATTAGCTATTCCGTTATTTTTCTCCGTCTTTATGTAATCAATCCGAGTAACGAATTACATTGTTTACGTCTTCATTGTTGTGTAATCAGTCTTAATGACCAATCAATTGGAATTCTATTTCCTGAGTATTATTATCATTACTGTGTTAATCTACTCACAACCAATTAATTTGTATTGATTCTTCACATTCAAGTGTAAAGTTCTGTTTTAGTATTGAGGCTTGATGAGAGTTTAATTGAAAAGCTGAATTTTCAATATCTAAGTTTAAATATTTAAGTTATTGTACATGTTTTTATAAGTTGTGCCATTCTATCCATCTATGAAAGGTCACTAGTTTTACTCATCCATTTGTCATATCATTCTGCTACTTGGCTTTTTTTTTACATAGGTGGAGATAAAAATTTGATATTATGTTTTCATAGGTTTATTTTTCGTAGGATAAATGACATAGATCACTAGGTAGATTTCGAAATATTTCAATAAATTATATTCATATATATATTCTCATGTATATTCATCACTACTAACAGTTTTTCATGTGACTAATATACTGTAATATTTGATGCTATTTTATTATGTGTTCCAAAATCGGCACGTTGTAGTCTTTGTTCTTCATCAATATATCATTAATCAATCAGATTGTAAGACACATCTCATATATTTTACATGATTATTGATTTACTTTAACCCATGTGGTTCTTTCCAGCATTATTCCTTATATATATGTTACAAACTGGACTCCGTGTTCATGATGTTACCTATCTATTTCATTGTTTCTAACCATCTGGTATAACATTGTCGAGCTGTGTTCCAAAAGCCAAGTGTTTGTGGTTCTTCGTTTATTGTCATCTGTTGTTGATTATATCTGACAGTTCAGAACTGTACGAAGTTTCAGTTTTCTTTCTTAATAAGGAGAAAATTTCTCTGTTCAATCTTCTACAGGAATATAATAGAATAATTTCGTTTAGTATGTGTTTGTTTGTGTTACTCCATACTTGGCGCTATTCACACATATAACTTTATTTACTACTAATCTCTTTTATCATCAGTAACTTAACTGTACATTATCATTAATTTATTGTTCAAGTAATGATAAAGATAATAACTATTGTTATTTTTAAACTAACTTATGCACATGCTATTTGTCAACGTAAATTAATGTTTTGGTCCTTGGTATATATATATACAGTTTTTAATTATCAAATCATTAATTGTTCTAATTTTACCCCTCTAATAGAAGTTGCTTTGGAATTGGAAAAGCAACCTGTTAATTTTATCCAACAACAACAACAACCACTTGTGAGTTCAAACAGATTCACAGAAATACAACCACAAGATTTACAAGGCAATTCAGTAAATCAATTTAATATGGTCTTCAAGGAGTCTTTACCAAATAGTTTTATATCAACAGAAATTGTGAATTCGGATCATGTCGTTTCTAGACATAATAACGCTATTCATTCCACGTCGAATATAGATTTCACCGGTAATAATGTTGAATCAAGTCGACCGAATCCAATATCTTATGTTACAATGAATTCTGTTGCTAATCACTCAATACATCATCATGTTGAAAATAATATTACTTCACTTAATAACAATAATAATATTAATTGTATAAAACAAGAAAAGACTATATTTATTGGTCAGAATCGTTTGTCTAAAGATAAACATTCAGTTCTTCCTTCTCCTTCATCATCTGGCGGTGGAGTTGGTGGCAGTGATCATTTTGGTCGTATTACTGATAATTTAGCTGCTGTTTCACTTGACAATGACAATGATGATAATGATAATATTGATGACGATGATGATGATGATGATGGTGATAATCAAAATAAACACCCGGCTAGTTCAAATAATCATGCTGTTCAACGTGAAAGTAATTCGGAGATAAATCCAGGCAAGTGTTTATTATTTTGATTCAATTTTTGTTTTCTATTCATCTCTGTATCTTAATAATAATAATTGTATTAAAAAGTCATCCCTTCTAGTAGTATTGCTTAAGTATTGTTTTTTCTTTTCTCAACTGAACTAGTTGTCAAAAATATGAATTGAAAGGTGAGAGTGGAGAACCCACCAAGTCAATTATTGATTATGCTATTCACTCCAAAGGTGATAGTTAGTGAACGATATATTATTTTTTAAAAATCGTTTTGACTACCTCATTAAGTTTAAACAAGAAAATTCTCATCTTCGAAAACCTGTTATTAGTTTGGGGTGCGTTTAGGATGATAATGTGTTCAATAAAAAATGGCTTTATTCACACCTATTTATGTTGCTCGTAAAACAAATTTTTAATATATCAACATTATTTTAGCCAGATAATATATGAATTAAAATTTCGGTACTTTGTAACATCTTTATGATATCCTCCCTATTTCTCTTTATCTTCTGTTAATTGTGTCAGTTTTCCTTTGGAATCTGTGCGATATCCTGTACATTCTCAAAATAACATATATGCTTTGTAACCAGGGTAATAATTTCCTCATCACAACTTATCCGTAACCTCAAAAGTTTTACTTGACACTACTTCAGCATTAATTACTATTAAACTAGCGAGTTCAACGTTCTACTAGTATTTAGTTTCACACATCCGTTTGGCACACAATTGTAGTGCCAATGTTAATTTGTATCACTAAACATCAGTGACACTAAAATACCGCTCACATAAGCACCGATCTCTAAGTCGTACTTTATTTTATTTATTTATTTATTTTAACATATAGATATTGGTACAAGGAGGCACCAGATACATATGCACCACACAGATCTCATTTGATATGTGTGAGGGATGTGATACTGCCTGGGTGCTAATGAATATATAATACTTTTCAATTCCAATTGAGTAGTGAATCGTTCACAGACAGACTCATTAATTGTCTCTGGACAAGCGAATTTCACCAAGGGTACACACAAACTTCAGGATTAATAGTTTGAGCAGTTTAGCATCCAACTCCCAGTTGTTAATGAGCGTAGCTGTAAACAGTGTACATAACTGATGTGGTATTTACGCGATTCTAATATGGGAAACAGAACCTGCTAATCAATATGGGTTGTATGTGGTTACTGCATATCATCCTTCAGTATGATTTTTCATTTGATGACATTTTTATCTACATTGTCATGGCATATAATCTCACCTCGTCTACCAGGAATTCTGCTGATACCATATTTAGATTCGTTCGTCAACCTATATGATTGGAAAACATAACAAAACTACAATCTAGGTGTAGTTTTCTAGTTCTTTATATATTTCAATCATATTTAGCTAGTTAGGGAAAAGTGTATATGCATTGGAAAAAAACATTAAAATCTCTAGTCTCGTTTGTTTATGGATAACATTGGGATCCCAGAGGGACATTTCCTTTTATTCCAGATTCATTATCTATGTGTACCAATATTCTAGGGTTGATTTTCACTCTGATACTCAAACCTCTTATCCATCGTTTTAAATGCCATATGCTCTTATCCAATAGAATAACAGAAATCGATCAAATATCAACTATACAACAGTATAAATACACTTAAATTCAATTGATTTGTGGTAGTTTGCATGTATATTGAAATAGTAATCATTGATGGTAACTTGATGTGAAGTAACTTGTATTATTTAGCAGTGTTTTTTTTCTCCAATGACTTTATATTTGAAATTAGTTTACAATATTAAATAATTTACTAAGTTTGCCACCTGATAATTGCAAACAGAAACAAATTGATGATAGACGTCTCGTTTTTTTCTACAAAAACCATTAGAACTCCTTTAGTCAAAAAGTGTTTCTTCACTTGAAGTGAGGAAAACAATGTGAATTTTTAGTTCGTTGATGTCACCTTTATTCTTCGGAAGGACATTATCATATATATATATATAATGTAAACCAACTTCTCAGTATTACTTCGACGGTTGAAAAATGCGTGAACTTATTCCTCCAACACAAGTTGTTTTTACGTCCATTGTCTTGAAGCAATTGGTGGCTATTAATGTGTGTGTCTATGTTTGCTGATTTTATTCAGTTTTTTTTTAAACAATTCTCCACAAACTACTTTGTCATTCACTTACTGGTCACAGTTTCTCTTCTGTCTCATTAGAGTCATTCACATGGACACATACATTTGTGTATTTATTCGATTTTTTTTCTTGTTTCGTAGTTTGTAAGAAAGTTATATTGTATGAATCTGTGCATCTGCATTTTGTGCGTCCGTCAAAGTAGTGAATATTGTTTATTTTTTACGTTGTGTACAAAAGCATTTCCAAGTAATAAGCGCAGGTAAAGTGAGTCATGTTAGCGGAACTGGTACAATAGTACTTTCATAGTGAATTATATGTACAAATTGGCTGATCATATATATATATATATATATATATATATATATATATATATATATATATATATATATGCAACACATGGTTTATCGGTCACTTAAACATGGTGACTCATAAACATGTATAGTAATTGTTTGGCCTTCTCTCCGTCGTTAATTGAATGTACAAACAAATGAGTATTATTTGCATTAGTAGTTTGCGCAAAACCATTTTATTTCATAAAAATTTTCTTAATGAATCGGCCATTGGAAAGCAAAAAATAATGGATTTATTTCCATTCCAGTTTTGACATTTCCCAGCCGTATGCACATATCGTCTTATAAAAATTTTGATCCAGAACATTGAGGTTTCTTGGCAGGCACAATTAATTTCGATCACTAAATCAGAACTCAATTGTCTTAATCTTTTCCCTAATATGATATGATCTTTTTGTCATGTGATCAGTGATAAATTTCTATCTCACTTTTGGACAGAAATCCATATCAATGCTAGTTGTTTACATATACATTTTACGGCCTTCTCTCCACAATCAATTGCTTAATTTCCACTATTTCATCGTTATTAGTCATTGTTTTATTATTTTCTTCTGGCAGTTTAATTGTTCATTATTATCTAATTTTGAAATTTTTGTCTAACCATGTAAGTTGATGTCTTTTTGATAATTAAAAATTCTTTGTTTAATCTTTTTAACATTTTCTATCTAACAAATATAGATCATATTCTATTACCCACTAGCAGTTTAGGTCAGGTTAAATTTTTACCATGCGGCCCACAAAATACATCCATACATGAATCTAACCAAAATGGATTTCCTAATTTGATTCAATGTCGAACACCATTTTCATCAAATTGTTTAACACAAACACAATATTCACCGGCTTCATTATCTGATAATGGATTTTTACCTTTCGGTGAAAAATTATGTTACTTTATCCCAATGAGTAATAATTTATCTTATCAACCTAATTCACATATTACCTCGTCAAATGTTACACAAAATTGTGGTACTTCAAATCTTTCTCAATTTTCCAATAATAATTCAGCTTCCATAGTTTCTAAAATTCCTAACTTAAATGTTGGTAATTCAACAAAAGTGGTGAATGATCGATCAGCTATTCGAACGAATCGTTCTATTCATCGTAATGTCACTTCTGGTTGTAATACTCAGACTAGTTCGCAACAAAGTAAGTGTTGTTTCAAATCTTTTTCATTTACAATGTAAAAAAAATACCAACTTAGTTTTTTTGTATATTTTATTGTGTGTTGAATTGGAATATGTTATTCACACTTTTGCCATTTATTGGTCTTGTTTATTTTATTTATATACGTACATGATCGTTCAACTCTCCTGTCTTTTCTAAGTGTTGTTTTTTGATTATAGAGATCTGTTTTTAATGAGTAGATTATATCCATGATTTCTCACTATATAATCAGTACCATGTTGTTGTTAAATAAATTTAATGCTCTATTAATGTTTTCACCATTTTACGTAGATGGTACAACACGTAGTCAAGATACGGATACACCAGATGAAAGTGGTGTTGGTGAATCGATTATTTCAAACGAATCTCCTGCAGAAAGTCGAGCATGTGGCGGTGGGATAATGAGTAATGCTGTCGGTGTTGGTGTAATTGCTACTATGAATTCGATAACACCAAGTGGACCCTGTCAAGTTGATTGGCGTTTAAATGTGGTGAGTAATATTTCTTTGTTTTAGGCTCTCGTTTTCTTTTTGTCGATACATCTCAACGTAATTAAAAATAAACGACAAAGCAAACATTAGTTTATAAACATCATGTGAACTTTGAGTTGATCTTATTTTCTATTCTAGTATCCTATGAAAGCTTGAATTTGCATTAGTTCAAACAAATACACACACGAAACGTTCTATTTGTCAAAATTTTTGTTTAATATTTTACCCTATTCTAAAAAATGGAAATTATTCTTATCTCTTCGTAGGATCTAGGTTTCTTTGTCAAATTGTTTGCCTAGTCGTGAGAGTTACATGCATTTGATCCTGGTTTTCATACATTTTCGGGTGATCAATTGATTTTGATTTAGACACATAAACTTTGGTACAAGTAAGCACGAAATATATATGTACCTCACAGATCATTTGATTTGTGTGAGGGCTGGGATACTGCCCGGGTGCCCAAACCGCAGGATGTGATCAATTATAGGAACCAGATCATAAGTCTCAAAGTGTTTGATTTCTAACTAACTTTTAAGATAATTAATATCTACTTCATTTTTCACATATATGCAATCTACTCTTTATTAAAAATTACTTCAAGTAGATACAAATCAATCTACTTTACTCATTTCGAGGTATTATTTAGAAATTATGAATCTGAGACTTTTTCTTTTTGTGTATAACATTTATATTCACAAGTTTCTATGAATTTGTGCATGTGTGTGACGCTAATGTATTCACAAACTCTCTTTCCAGGCCATTGTTATGCGCTATACTCTTACTTGCATATACATGATGTATACTTACTGTCATATTCTGTTACTTTTTATTTCTCTATTTTCTTACTTCAGCCGTTTGAAGTGTCCATGTCAATTGATGATCATTCTCAACATTTTCATCATGCACAAATAATAACTCCTTCTTCAAATGTTATTCACCATCCACATTCCTATCCATATTTATTTCAAACTACTAATACTTCTACAACAACGACTACTACTATCAATACCACTACTTCTCATATTTCTTCTGCCTCATCATCTACTCAATTCAATGTTAATCCATTAATGGAACAATTCTCTACAATACCACCTCACGATAGAATTGGAAGTTATTTAAAAAGTTTGGGTGAATTAGATACCAGTGGTGGTCGTCATCATCGTTGTAACGAACTACCAACATTTGCTTATCACCAATCGCAACCAAATGAATCAAATTTACCAACTGATATACTTGGTGTAAATGATAAAACATTTAATCATCCATCGAACTTTTTACATTATCTCCCACCACCACCACCAGCGGTGCCTCCCCCACCTCATTCATCAATAATGGAATGCTGCAATTCGCCGTTGTTACCTCCTACATCTACCACCAATAATGCTTCAATTCAATTAAGGTAAACCAATTTAGATTATAATTAAGTTTAATGTATTCTATTCTTCTATAGGCAAGTAATTTGTCTTCTGTATTTAGTCATGTGGTATTTATGTGAAATTCCAAAATATTCTTGTGGTTATAACATGTGGTCAAGTTTACGGTGAACTTAATTTACATATACATTCATACACAAATGAAAAAAAAAACTGATGATCATAACTTCGATTTTCGTATTTGTGACACTAATCAACGAATTTGATAGATTTTTCATAATAAGAAATATTTGAGTAGTGTCTTTTCACTTGTTCGTTTTTTCCCTCAAATTCTTACGTTACCAATTTATACATTCTTTCTTTTTTAGTAGAAAGCATTTTCCACTCAAATTATTTGGACAAATTTTATTATGAATGAAATTAAATTAAATTTTAAGTGTTTTTTTTTTTAACGAATTGATTTTGTGATAATTTTATTGTTAACTAGCCCTTATGATTTTACAATTACGCTTGAATAGGCTAGTTACTAGTATATATATACTCAGTGCTAATAAACTGTGTTTCATTGTATTCACTGTTAAGACTTGTTAAGTTCGCTACTTGATTAACGCAGATTAAGGTTTACGACTACGACACCCGAACGTTGAACTTCACCGTTGCAAATCAGAAGACAGAAAAAAAGCTGGAGAAGTGTTTATCTGGTAAGAATCAAAGTGTGCAGAAAATCAAGGGTATTTATAGATATTAGCGTTTGTTAAGTCAATATTATATTTCGGCCAATCCGCTATGAGATATATTATGCTACTGACCAGTAATAGCACGCCACGTTAATGTTCTAGAAAGCTCCATCATGTTCTGATTGGCTGGAACTCTTCGGCTCCTTTAGGGCCTCTGGAGGCTCCGTTGTGGTTCTCGGAAGCCGACTCAAGAAGACTGACTTCCAGATAGGGTGATTTTAATTTGAAATTTCTAGGTATATTAATGCAATAGGTTCAGCGCTATTTTCTTGTTGTTTAGATGATCGTTGAACATTACTGATAAACTATATAACGACATTATGTTGAAAGCACTGGCTGTCGATTGCTTTTTATTTGTCTGTCCTTGGTTATTAAACTGGTTGTTTTTATGATTTTTCTATAGTAATATTGTGTAATATTTGGTTTCTCACTGTTTACCTAGCCAACACACTTTTCTTTTTCGGTTGGATAATTTCAATTAGCAAGATGTTTATAGTCCTATAATTTTTACTTTGACCTGTGACAAAAGTTAGTTGATGTAAAAGGTAAAGTTAATTGTTGTTTTTAATTAACTTTTATTTGATTAATTTAGCAAACTCAATTTTTATATAGTGAAAAGAATATTTGGTCAATGTACCAAAACACTCTTTGTATCATTTGAATGTTGGTGTATGCTGAATGCTGTATTCAGTTTATCTGTTGTTCAACCTAATGGCTTTAACATTAGTATATATTGAGATAATGTACTTTCTAGTTATAACTAACTTTGAAGACAGATCAAATTTGTATTGAGTTTATCGTTCAAGGGGATTAGGGTCATGTCTATTAAATCCATTTATAGTATCTATCGAAATAGAGTGGTTGGTTATCAATTAACATATTCAGCGTATAACATCCGGCTTAGACATCACTTACCGCTTATAAATAGCATGTTTCATAACCGAACACAAACCTGTATTCGGCAAATCAGTTACGTTTGAAAATTGCTCGAAATTTTCTGCTGTAGAACAACTCTTCATGTAAAACATCGTTTTTTCTCTGTGAATAATCGTTAGTTAATTGTTTTGATTTTTATCCTAATTGATGAACTCTTCTTAAATTTCTTATTTCTTTAAATTTATTCTATTTATTTTTATAGCTCGCACGTAACTTCAACCGGGGAAATTTCAAAGTCAAATATTTCTCACCCGATTTCTCCTGTACAACGTAGTAAGCAATATTTTCATTCAAAAGAAATAATGGATGGTGAGACCGGAACAAATATGAACCAGCCAATCAACTGTTTATCGTCTAACAATCAAAATATATCTCAATTGAAAGCTTCGTCTGAACAGAATAACATAGTTGTTGATGAATCTTCTTTGAATCATAATAACAGTAGCAACAATGATACTGATATTAAAGATATGCATCCTAATACTTCTTATTCCAAGATTTCTCAGGCACGCCGACGTAATAGAGTAGATATAGAACGTGCTGTTAGTGGTAATGCTGGACACCTGGACTATCCAGGAGTAGGGCGACGTCATTTACCACTGGATGATCGATCAGAAGAGGAATCGAATACGGAAGAAGTTCCAAGATCATTGGAGGATGAGACTTTATCCATCGCGTCTGACTCTCCGAACAATTCTCAAGATAATTCAATATCGATTAAACCCGATGCAAACCTTTCAGGTGGTGGTGAAGGAGACGATGTTTACCAGGCGCCAGATTCTTACTATTTACCAAATGTTGGTAATAATAATAATTCGAATTCACAAAATTTACAACTTAACTCTACTTCACAGGAATCAATTACAAATCTACTTGAAAGATCTATTGAATTAGTCAGTTGGACTAAAGATCTATGTAGTTATTGTGAAATGGAATATGAGATCCCGAATGCATCGTTCATTGAACTATCGAATTGTTTAGATTCTTTTCGTATTGAATTAGAAGCCTATATTGTGGAACATATAAGCAATAATCCAAATCTTACTAAAACTATCTTAATTTCATGTGATAATCTAGGTAAACAAACTACAAATTTATCTTTGCATTTAAAGACTATGGAAATTGATAAACCTGCCTTTAGTGTACATTGTAATTCTTGTCATTTGTGTTTAAAAGAAATTCATGAACATATCGTACAACTTTTAAATAAGTCAAAAGTAACCAATGAGGTAACCACTACCGCGGTCACCACTGGTTCTACCACATCTGTTACTAATCAAACTCATTTACATGATGATCGATCGTTTAGTACTACTGCTAATAATACTGTTACTACTACTACTACTACTACTCATGTATTTGGCAAAGTTTAACCTCTGAATTTTACTATTTTGTGTTTGTTTCTTCACTCACTGCGTATGCGCACATCTTTTTGTATATGCTTCATTCTGTTGCAATTATCATTCATAATCTACAAGATTCTTATTGTTTAAAAGCTAATTGTTTTGATTTCTTTCTGAATTGATCAACATTAATAAGTGTCCGGGATTTGGAAATAAGCATCACATAATTTACACATATACTTGTTGTTTTGTTCAACTGAGACGTTATCATATTTCAAATTTTCACCTCATTCAAATTACACCAATGTCTTTCGAATATTCACTTTTCTGTCATTTATATATATGATTGGGCGATCGACTGATCTGATCGTCTCATGACAGAAACTAATTTTACATAATTTCAGTCATCTCTATTTACCCCATTGTTTACTACTGTACAAGTCATACAATCTTATCATATCTGTATAAAGTTCATTTTGCATGTTGGTGTTTTTTTGCTCATTTCTTCGTTTTAAATTTATATCATTTTTGACATTGTGTTTTTTCCTCTCTGTTTGTTTTCTTTTCCGATTTCTCACCTTTTATTTTCAATTGGAGTATGTGATTTACACTATCTTAATTATCTATAAAAATAATACTACCACAATTGTTTTTTTTTGTCAACCAATTTTTTTCCGGTTGTTGTTTCATCAGAAAACTAAGTCAGACGATCAGTTTCTATGGTGAATATATTGAGTATACATACACATAAATTCGGAGATAGTCTGTGTTATTCCCACTTTATGTGTAATAATAATAATAGTTAAATCTCGTTTTTGACATTCTCTTCTTTACCTTTGTATACATAAATAATAATACAACATTGATAATCTTTTGACTTGTGTACACACGAATTGATTGTGCATTCTAATGGGTGACCCATTGAGTGTGATATAGAATTCTATGTTACATCTTTACATTCTGAAAATGAAATTTAATTTATTTTTCTGTCAAAATAACATTAATTTAAATAACAACAAATGTGTGTTTCAAATTTTACTCATAAACAACAATTTTGACACAATAATGCCAAGTAAATAAAAGTTTTTAAAAGTCCCCTATGTATATCATTATATAAATACATAATGAAAGAGACATAATATCGATTGCCATTAGTAACTGATAATAATAATGATCAAATTATTTTTTTCCTTTTTGAATTCTTACTTGAAGTATTTAAAACATTTCTTCCTATTGCCATTGTACTTATCAATAGTTTTTCTCCTTTCATATTGAGATAAAACTAATAACCAATGTATTGATTATTGGATGAATTAAAGAATGTCAGTGAATGAGTTTGTTGAACAGTGGGAAATACGTTTTCTACATCTTCATTTATTACCGAGTGATATGTGTGTATCGTATACTGTTAGTAAATAAAATCTTATCGTTAGTCATTCCTAGTCTTGTTTATATCATCATGGATGTGAAAAGTAAATGTCTGTATGTTTCGATATATTTTTAATAAATTATTTACTACATAGGTAGAGATTGCAAAACAATCAACCTTTCTTCCGAACTCGTAATAGAAACCCTTTTTATGATGTTATGTTGATCCGTTTCCTGTATCCCTTTTTAATATGTTTTGAAATGTATTGAATACAGTTTAAAACATACGTTAAAACCTGATTGAAAGATGATATTAATGGATGAATTAATAAGATAATCAGCCAGCTGTTTTGTTTTATTTTCATATCTTAAGTGATCAGTCACGAAGATTTTACCCCGGAACTTTTAGATTTTGCGACAACCATGGTATCATCATAAGCCTCATCTTAATCATCAAAGAAATTTATTTCTGAGTTTATGCATGTGCGAATTATTCGTAGTAGGATCTGCTTTTTGTATCTTCAGTAGTAAGGTTAAGAAAATATTGACAGTAAGAAGTTACTTATTGAGCTATGTAAGATTGATTGTTATTCTGTAATGGCTCAAATGTATATGGGTTTTATTACAGGTAGAACACGTCAACTAAAATATAACATTAGAATCGAAAAAATGGTGCCTGGATTGACCGATCGGAATCTAGAAGTAGGATTCCTTATTTTTACCGTCTTTAATTGCATAATATAATTAGCCACACGCATGATATCGATGTAGGGGTGATTTTAGATTATGTGAATCAAAGATTACTAAGTAAAACAGATTTAGGAGTAGTGAAGCAAGGTATACCATTACTCAAGTTGGAGCAGTAGTCTGACAAAATATAGATTTTATTTAGGTACCATCAATATAGAGCCTGACACTGAGGGCGAAGTCGTACTGCTGACTGTAGAGAGGTCGTCAAGACCAACACTAATCCAATTTCCTTTTCAGGTTCCTCAAGAAATACCCTTCCACGGTGTGGGCAGCCGGGAAGTGACATCAGCCCTCATACCCGTAACAGCACTGACTGACTGAGCCTGACACTGGTGTAAGTTGACTTAAGTTGTAGAATATTAGCACGAAATAAATATAAGATGAATACCAAAAAATATTATAGCTATGATAATAAGAAAGATTAATCATTATAATATAACGGCATGTATGTAGAATTATTGGAATTTAATATCTAGAAGAAGATACAAATTGAATGCATCAGTATTATTGTGCACGATTTTGATATACAGATTTTTCTCTATATCTTAGTGCATTTGTTTAACGCTACTTCAGTTACAACGTATATAAATGTACTTATTCTGTTGTACAGTTAATTACATCAACTAGCTAAATATTTTGCTTAATCAGTTGTATATAACTTACATTCACATTAGAAAATATTAAGGTCGTCTTAACAGATACCTAAAGGTCTAACTATTCTCCAGTGTAACCAATGCACTTGCACCCTAGTAAGTTTGGGTGTTTTCAATGAAACGTGTCTTTTATGATTGTTTCAGATGTAAGGATATTGAGTACTGAGTGATGATGACCTAATGTTATTCAACTGATATCCCTTTTGAATTATAGCTTCATATCACTCTCTGTTTCTAGTCTACTCTTAACACAAAGTACATATGACTTCTTTTAAACTTAGCACTGGTGAAGAAATGCTACATCTCGACAGTAAGGATGTATTCGACTCCGTTGAGTGAGAGTATTTAACAATGCTTTTCATGAAAAATGTACGGAAGAAGTACATAAACATACACAGATTGTATTCCTAATCAACCTTTTTGTGGATTAGTTTACCAAGAGATTCATTTATCGACTTAAAATTATTAGATGGGATAGTTTTGTATGCTGAAGACCGATAAAGAGTAGATTCTTCTGTTCGTTTTGAGCATTCACACAAGTATGTTTCCACCGTTCTAAATGTAAATGTCACTTCAATACTGTTCCACATCATTAACGGGAGTAAAATAGTTGACCACTTCACTCAACTCGAGAGTCTCATCAACTGTGGTACTTTAGTAGCTGATAAAATCACGGACTGGATTTAGAAAGCTTAATTGACTTTTGCCGACTTTTGGCGAAATTAAAATGTCAGTCTCAAACAAAGGACGGATTTACTGCATAGAACCTTGAACCAATCCAAACTTGTGCCAAATTTTACATTACAAATCTTTGACTGTCTATGATACATGACCCTTCAAAGTAGAGGAAATTCATAGGTTTATAGTGTTTGATCGTCATTGTCTTCGGAGCATTACAGGCGTATGTTGAAATGATCGAGCAAGCAGTGCTTAGTTTAAGAGTATTTTAGACGGTAAATCGGTTGATGAGTTTGTGAATCATCAATTATTGGAGTGATTTTGAATAAAGCTGGGGTTGACTAAATCTGGAGCATGGCATCACTTATAGAACACATTGACTAAGTGTTTGAGGCATGTAGACTACCTGGTCAGTTTCCGCGCGGTTATTGTAATTGATGATCGCAGTCATTGAATGAGATATCTTAAAATCGATTACTGCATCTCCAGATGCATCCACTTTTTGTTAGGCCTAAGATCTTGAGTTTCTTTTACACCTATTCTTCCATTCCTTCTTTTAGAATCTCGTAAGTTAGGCTAATCAGATATAATCAAAATGATAATTGGGAAATGATAGCGGATGCACACTATTGATCAAAGTGTGGCTTCACTGTGGGGGAAAGGAATGCATGGTATTAGTTAGAAATGTGGCTCTATTTTCTGAGGAATGAATTTGTACATATGTGCTCACTTAGGCTAGCCAATGAAAGCCATCTATTCAATCTTGATTCCCTCACTTTAGTAACTGATCTGGGCACGTGTATAGAAAGCGTATTTATCAGTGAAACATAACAGAATCCTATTCTCAACTTATTGTCTTTCCAACTATAATCGATACTGCTGTTATTTTAATTTTTTGCTACTCATCTTGTACTTGTTTAGTTTGATAACTTTGACTTGTGCGCATTTTTGCTTAGCTCTACTTTGATTACAACTGTATTGCAAACTATCGATCATGTACAGTGTAAACCACGAATATTTATCGGTTTTGTATTTACTCGTCATTAGTTTCAAGTATTTTCACTGGAAATTATTTCATGTATATGTTTGCCTAGAACACAAAGATAGTCATTGTAATCAAATAATTTCAAAATGATATGCGTTTGATTAAACTAGTTATTGAAGCTTCTTTAAACTTTTATTGTCATTTCTCCTGTGATTTTGATGATGTTCATTAGGAAAAAGAAATTTTTGTTTTCATATCTGTGACGACGGATCATGGGTGAACTCGAGGAAGCAGCAGGAGGCTCAGAAGGAGCCGAAGATATTCCGTTCGATCACCTTTCGGTAGAATATTCTAGAATTCCTACGTGTAGCTTCTCGATTAGACAATGCTAGTAACCCCCTGTATGCGGATTGGAGGACTGTAATTATGATTTCATTCTTACTAAAAACTATAAATACCTGACGATTTTGTACTATAATTGACACTGTCTGGGAATAATACTCCTTTCATTAGTCTTCTGTCTTCTCATTGCGACTTCGAAGGGTTCTAGCGTTCTGGTGCTCACGTTATACGCGGTATATTAAGAACAACCTTCTAGATATAAAAATATCTAAGAATAATTACTGTTTGTTAATGTATTCAGTTTAACTTCTCAGTTAACATGTGTAATAAAATTCAAACTGAATATTGTTTTATCCTTTTTTTTTCAAAACTCACATTCCTGACATATTATACATCAAAACACTTAAACTCCTTATATACCTTTGTCTGTTTATTTGTTGTTCAATGATATATATATATATTCTTTAAAATAAATTCCAGCAACATATTATACGAAGTTGATCGATCAGAGAGTGATACTTCGAAAATCGGAATAAATAGTTCATATGAAAAATGTCATTATTCTGTTGTTTATTGATGTGAGTTTATGAATGTCTTGTGTTTATTTAATTTCTTTTGTTCACAAACATTTTCTTATATGAAAAGAATAAGTCCGCTTCTTACAAATTGATATTAGTTGTAAAGTTGTAATAAACAAACATCAGGTTAGAGTAAACCAGTTTACACCAATATGCCAACCTCTTGTCAGTAAGAATCTTAATTCCAGTTCCTGGTGAATACTACTACTTATATCTGTCCACTAATTCGCATACCACGTTTTGATTGGAAATCTGATAATTATAGAATTAGCTTTTCATCAAAGCTCTCTCGTTGTTTTCTCGAATTGTACTGTTTACCATTAGATAGCGCGGAATTTAATTTACCATTATGTTGAGTCGTCTCTTGATTTATAGGTCAATTTTTCTACCCATCGGGTTGTTTATCAGGTTATTTTAGAATGCATGTGCATGTTACATGCAACTGTAATACACCTTGATTAGATTTATGTGGTATAATTTGTAATAAAAGTTAGTCTTGAATATTATATCATCTGGATTCAACATTCACCAGGAACAAACCACAGTATGAGATTTTTAAAATTTGTAAATATTTTTGATTGACGGGCATAATATAACACTAAAGGTGTATCGATTTTTTCGTAACATTGAATGCTTATTCTTATCAAAGAATATGACATAATCTCATGCGTTAACTATCATATGATGTGTCTTGCCAATTGTTTTGTAAATCAGCAGTAAGTCTAAATCTTTTGAGTATGAGTCCGTAATCATATATATATATATATATATATATATATATATATATATATATATATATATATATAGGGTAAGAAACCGTATCCCACAGAAAAAAAAGCTTGTTAAAGAACGCCATACATAAAAAATCATTCATATCATTTAAACTTTGCCTTGGGAGCCGAAGGTCTTTATTTAGGAGAATTATGATGCTTCATGGTGAAACCAAGATTCTTTGGAAGTCGCGATGCTGATATCTCCTCTAACAACCATGATAAAAATTAATATAGGTATATGGGATGTCTGAACGATGTGGTAGAGCGGGGGGACCAGTCGAATAGCAACCTAAATGAGGAGATACAACTTGACGGTTCTCGGAATCAGCGAAATCTATTGGACTCAGGCTGGACAGCTGTTAGGGATTCAGAGGAATATAACAATAATTATCATGTTAAGTCTAACGGTGACCTTGGACTTTGAATGTACACTCCCTATTGGTCGATATTTGTTACACTTGTTAAATATTGTGTAAATGTTGTTTTCTATTTTATGATACGATGTGGTTTGTTTGTTTAGTATATAAATAGAGTATGTCTGAAATATAATGATTCATATCTCAGAGGCTGTGACTTGTGTTCT